CTCATGAGGGCATTTGGGGGCTGTTCTGGGCGTATCTTGAGCTCATCCAGTGTCCCACGCCCTGTCCATTGTCGAGCTTTCGTCCCAGCCCGTGGCTCTCAAGTAGGGAGCTCCCGCTGTCCATCTTGCATTCACCTCAGATCAACTCAGGAGCTGAAGCGGAAAGTCTGCACCGAGGCCTCGTCTAAAAGATCTGTGGTGTTAGCGCCGGCTCCTGCACTGCCTTGACTCACAAGTGAACGTCGGCAGAGTGTCGGCAGTGTCATCTTTTGTTGCCTGCATGCTTGACGCATCACTGCCACGAGCATCTGTCTTGCTGCAGGAAAACGGCAGGACGTTCGTAGTCATCAACCAGAAGGGGATTGATCCGCCATCCCTGGAGATGTTGGCTCGGGAGGCAATCTTGGGAGCTTCTGCAGGCATGGTAGCGAGATGTGAACATGCTGCCCACAGTCATGCTCCTGCAGCCATTTGGATTGTTCTTGCTGGATCCTCTGCTGCCATTTCCTGAAGGCCTGCCTTGGGTCCGTTCTCTTAGAGGGTGAGTGTAAGTCAAGTAACTCAGGCTGCTTTGGAGATGGCCCGCGCTGCCCCCAATCGATTATTGACCACGCTGGTGATCCTGGCAGCTGGGCTCGCATGATCTTGCATGCCTCGCCTGTGATTTGCATGCCTCGTTGCAGAGCTTGGTTAAGGCGATCGCCTTATGGTCTCTGGCCCCTTACAGCCTATCCTACACGGCCCCTCCTGGTGGCGGCCTGAACCGGAAGCAGATGCACGGCAACATCCGCAACAAGGACAAGCTGGGGGGTGTCGTCGAGATCCCCTTGGACGAGGAGGAGGCCGAGGCTCCCACCAAGCCAGAGATGCCGGAGAGGCGAGTGCCCTACTCCATGCACATCGTGACCCAGCTCCCGCAGCACAAGCACCTCCACGAGGAGAGCAATGCCAGGAAGTTCATTGAGGACAAGCTGGTAGGTGCCTTTGAGAACTTCGAGGATCTGATCCGGCACGTTGAGGTTCACCTGCAGGCGCAAACTTTGAAAGTCAACGGACAGTGTCAAAAGGTCTACGTTAATAGGAGGTGAGGCAGGTGAAAGCTTTTTTCACGCTCTATGAGAGCACGGCACCCACGTCGCAGCGTTTTGCTCAAGACCCTAGTGCGGAGAACCCTCCACTATTTGGTGATTTTTCTGCTTTTTGGGAATGAGCCCACTTTGCCTGCTGCCATGCCAGAGTGGCAACACACCTTCCATGATTGGTTCAGCCCGGCAAAGCCACTTTGCCTTGCTCGCCTTTGCGCGATGATGGACTGAGACACATGCTTTGAGACATGCTGCGATGCTGTGGGTCTGACATTCCAAGAGGAACTGCAACAGGAAATGAGCATATTCAAGAAGTACGCTCTGAAAGATTGAGCCAAAGCTGCAGAGTTTCTTGCGGGTTTGACCGAGAAAGGCGCTGGTTGGTGTGTGTGTGTGTGTGTGTGTGTGTGCGCTGAACAACGGCGTAAGCGGTTTTGCAGAACAAGGAATGGGTGCAATGTTGTCAATCTTAGCAGCAAGCATGGCGCAATCTATTTTTTCAAATTCGAAATACCGCATCCAGCCAACGCAGAAGAGTTGACGCTTTGTAGAAGAGAGTGTACATGTGATACAACATACAACCTCTCGATTCTTTGCTTGCAATGCTGAGCCTGAGGCTTGGCTGGTTTGCTGTGCAACCGAAAGGCTGAAGAACAATTGCCCTACCTGTAAAAGAGCATGCAATCGGTGGACTCATTTCAGTCCACCCGTTACGCAGCACGGGCACTTGTTGTTCAAGCTTCACCGCTACTACACAAGGATTCGCGGGGGGAAATGTTCTAGGCCGTCAAGGCAGTCGAGCTGTTGCTGGATGAGGTGCATGACGTGACTGAAGAACTATTCTGTCGCAGTGAGCCTTTTCATGCCACTGCGTGGCAGCCGGGTTTCAGCCGATCCCATGTGCAGAGCGTTTGACAGGAGAACAAGAGGGCCTGCTTGATAGCAAGTCGTCTCACGCACGGCCAGGTCTGCGTGTGGTAAAACTGTCTTTGGCCAATCAGTTGTATGCATCAGCTGAAATCAGTAACCCAGCAACCTAGGTGTCTCCTCACTTCCACCGCGAGAAGCGCCCCGACAAGGTGCCCAAGACCGTGACCAAGGTGACCGTGGACGAGGAGGGAGATGAGATGCAGGTGGATATCCAGCCAGAGCCTGGGCACAAGATGCTGACGCCCTACATCGTGAAGGCTACTCTGACCCTGGCCAACCATCACAAGGTGGCGCTGACCAACCCAGAGAAGCATGCACAGCCCTCGCTGACGGAGGCGGTAGACCACATGACTGACGTATTGCGGCACTCCCTGCGCGAGGAGAAGAACCGAATGATCTCTGCCAAGAGGAAGGCTGCAGAAAATGCTCTGCCGGACGACATGGACGGCATCCTGGACGAGGACTACAACATGGCAATGTCCAACGGCATGACGGAGAGCAGCCCTGAGGAGGATGCGAAGATGGAGGCACTGAGCCCTGGCAGCACATATCAGCACATGGCGACGAGCAGCTTGTACCACACTCTCCTTCTCCACCTTCGATTTTGTGACCAAGGTACCAACGCATCGAGTCTTCACGCCAAGCCTAGGCAGTGGCTGCGCGCTTGTTGAGGTATGTCTTTCTCAAAACTTTCAAGGCCGGGCATTGCCGTGGCTGTGCATCGCTTGGCACTTGCACGCGGCTGACCAGGTTTCCTCAGAGTCTGGAGCCGGCGTTCCAGGTGTGATTTGCCAGGGCAGGAAGATAGCGCCATCACCACCATGGGTTGCGCTTAAGGCACATCTTGTTGAGAGAGAGGGGGACAGCAAGCTGGAGAATATAAAATTTCTTGACTTGTGACTTGTGGATGCTGATAAGGCAACCCATGCTTTTTGAAGCCGCTTTGCCCTCTTCAGGGCACCTCCCCAAAGGCCTCCGTGGGAAAGAACTCAGAAGGGCTCTAAGTCAGAGCTCCTGAGTTCGTCGTTCATGACCTGTAGACTCATAGTACATTTTGATAAGGATTTTGCGGTCCTGTACATCTGAGCAACCCCCGGGACCTTCTCATCGTTTAGACGTCGAGCTGCATCTTCAAAGGTAGTGCCAGTTTGAGCTGCACATTCTGGTTGCAGCTTGATCAATTCGACGGCTGGACAAGAGTGGGCGTGTTGGTGCTGCACATCACAGCCAGATTTGCTTGCAGATTTATTTGTTAGAGATGCTGTATTGTGGGCACCAGCATACAGCTTCACTACCCCGTGGGCCCTTGTGATGAAAAGGATAAGTGTACCAAAGCACGAGACAGGGACAAGGCCCCGCAGCGTGATATGGCAAACTGCTCAAGATCCGGCTAGGGAGGCCAGAGGCTGCACAACAGCTGCAGCATGTTCCAAACAGCCACCAAAGTTGGCGGCAGTGCCATGACCGCACCAAAATCCGCTATATATACTTGCGCTGAAAATGAAGCATACTCTGTGGCAGCGCAAGTCCGCGTTACATGGCACGGTCAGTGCCAAATGTATTTGGAGCTCAATCCCGAGTCACCAACTTGCTGGGCTAGATGACGTGGCAGGGGATCATTGCCCTTCGCCGAGCCAAGCGCCGGAACATGGAGCAGGGTCCTTGGACCTCAGCATACCGAACAGTCTGTATTTCCAAAAGTTGGCAGGGACGTAGTTGAAGGTTGGGGTCGCTTCCTACTTCTGTGGTTTTATCAGGCCAGTGGGCCATCCTTGCAAGGCTCTGACACATGTAGGCTTCCAGATGCCGGAGCTGCTTTGAGGCGCCTGCCGCTTGCATGCGGCGGCCAGGCTGTGAACTCCGTGGATGACTTGGACCTTGACGACCTCGGCCGGGCTCACTGTACAAGATGCGCAGGTTGTAACGGTCACCTGAAGCTGCTGATAGCTGCGGAGTGCCATTTTTTGTTAGCGTCGAACATCATGCTGCGACTTGCTCCCTGAATCCAGGTTGTTTGCAAGGTGCTTTAAGCGGTCTTTTTTTCATTGGGTCGTGGGCCGCCCAGGCTATGCCGACCTTGTGTACGAGCAGTCGCTGGAGGACCGTTTTGTGGTTGTGGTGTGGCATGCGGTGGCACTAGTTTCCTTCCAGGATGACAAATTTACCTTCATCGAGGGCGTGCAGGGCCTGGGCGATGTTTGCTTCCGAAGACCAGAGGATGTGTAGGCACGGCATCAGTCCTGCAGCATGCTTCTGATTGTTGAGGTGAAGAATCCGCACAGCTGCACGGTGTTGATCCAGGGCTCAACGGATCACGCGATCGCGCAGATGAAGGCTTTATGCATTCTGATAGCAGTGGATACCAAATTACCCTTCATGATGCCAATGTGCTTAATCGACATGTAGGATGCCATCAAAGATGGCCTGCGAGCCACGCAGAACTGTGTCGAGGATGAGGAAGGGTGGGACCATGCTGCTTCACTCCAACACACTCAGCTGAAAACGCTCCGGCAGCATGCTTTGGAGGCCATTGTGCCCGGCGCAGGAGCTTTTGAGGCTGCCGCAGCATCGCAGAGTCGCAACAAGTGATATGTATGAGTCGAGTTTTTGAAAGCCCAGTTGAAGCCCAGCATTGTGTTCAAGAGCCAGTCGATGCGATCTCCAAGGTTTAAGTTCCCTTTGTCCTTCTCTGCTCTACTCTCGTTGCCGTGTCGAAGGTGTTGATTGGCTTGACCATTTGTGCTGCTGACGGCATAAGACTGCTCACGCCAGAAAGCCTCTGGAACAAAATCAGATGAGAAGTACGCGTATGTGTTGAGGATGCCGCTTAATTCGTTTCTTCGCGACTGTGTGTCTTGCGAACAGCTCATTGACGAATATCTTTCATAACGGTAATGTTTCAAGACAGTTGAGGTTCTCTTGCTCATGACGTGATTTCTGGCCGGTATATACATCATCCCTGTGACAATGATTTCTGGCCAGATTGCCGCACACGTCCACTTGGAGCAGTTCAAGAGAACTGTGGAGGGCAAGCCGCGTTTAGGAGCGCGGGGCTCAGGACTTCCCAGATCTAACAGTCATGTCTATTCGTCTGCCAGGCCGTTGTTCTGACTTGGGTATGCGTTCCACCGAGTCTTTACTCAAGCTGGCGGGGCAGTGGCAAAGCCCTCACACGAAAGCATCAGACCTATGGCCTATGACATTGCACTGCAGGAACTAACTGTTGTTTTGAAGCTACCATTCTTCAGTTCTGGTGAAAGTCACTTATGTAGAAAGTTGCTCGCTTTGCTGTTGCATCGGGCGGTAACTGTTTTGGCAGTACTGCGCTGCCTTTGGCATGTCCACTGCAAGAGGACTTGACGTTGCTTTCATTGGCAATCCTCAGCTTCATTTGAAATCTCACCCGAAGCAAAGAAGCATCGGGCTGCGACTGCGGTGCTTCTGTTTCTATTGCATGAAGACTGCTGAGGGATCTCGGCCGCCCAGGTAGAAATTTTTGCGAAGGCGCTGCTAGTGGTGCCAAAGACGCTCCTAGAAAATTCCGGCCTGGACGTGCAGGCCACTCTCCCGGGCTTTTGACCGCTTCTGGGTTTGTTATTGACTGCTGAATCTCCCCTTGTTGTCCTACGAGGATTAGATCCTGTGAATACCTCATACGATGTGACCTTTTTGCTGATTGTTGAGTCGGTCAAGCAGAAATGCAGGCGATCGCATAATTAGTGCCCAGTCGCCACCATCGCAAAATTCAGCATTGCCAAAAATCAAAACGCCTTGTGAGCCTGCTTGTGTGTTCTATGCCAGGACAAGCTGCTTAGAGTGCTGGCAGACCGCGAGAACAAACACCGAGTAGTGGCAGCCTTGGCTGATTGGTGCACTTGTTGCGTGCAAGGCATGGCACGGCATAGACAGGAAGTTTATCGTATAATGCATTGACAGCAGCCGCTTTTCCCAAGCATCCCATGCACCACCAGCACCTTGAAGTCATGCGTCGCAAGCTGGCAACTGAGCTAGCAGCCTAAGGTCGGTGTCAGCGTGTCTAGCGGAGACCCCATCGATCCAGCTGTCGAGGGTTCGGGTCTCGGTCAAAAGTGGTGTCATGTATGTAGCTTTTCTAGCATGTTTGATTTTGTGCATCTGGAGCCAAGACATTGAGCCCTGAGTTCTGTGCAGCACTAGGGCTGATGCCCGCGCAGTCAGGTTGAAAACGTAGATCCGGTTGGCTTGGAAGCCCGACTGAGGAATCTACGACAACTTCCTAGTGAAAAAACAAATGCTTGGCTTGGCTCGAGTCTGAGAGTGGGCTTCAGTGAAGAGCGCTACTCCTTCAGCGTGCTTTCTCAGAACCCCTGGTGAGGCGCCAGTGCTGGCTGAGCAGTTGCTGCTGGTGGACGAGGCCAGCTCTCTAAGAGTGGAGCGAAATACCGTGTTTCCCTCCAATGGTCGTGCCAAGCATTTGATGTTGTAGAATCTGTTGCATTGACACATAGACACTGTAGCAGTTGAAGCACTTTTTCATCAGTGGGCGTGTCCTTGCCACTTGATGACCCCAGCGACCCAAGGTCATCCGAGCGGGGAAATCCATGAAGAGCGATGGCGGCATGCAGGGCTAGGGCTCAAACGTGGCCCAAACCATCGCCTTGTGGATTCGAGACGCAACGGGTTGGTGTGAAATGAGCCCATCTGGTCAGCACCTCTCCTGGTCCTCATGCCAAGTGCTTGTTGAAGTAGGGAAGCAGTGTCACCGGATGCAATCGGCATCCGCCAGGATGATCCTGCACTAGTGAATTCGGGTTGACTTGCATTGAGCCTTGCATCAAAGGTCACCTGAAGAATGACCAAATAAGCAAGTTTGGGAGCCCCTCCAGCCAATTGTTGAAGTGCAGGCTCGATTCGCAACCCAACTAGTGCGGCAGGATGCAGGCGGGGGTGCACGACAGAAATGGTGCGAGCTGTCAGACGGACCTGGAAAGCTGAGCCACTGAACTCATTCAGGGGAGGTTCATGTCATTCGAATGGTTGCCATATTGGTTCAGAAGTGGTTCAATGCCGGCGACTGGTCTGCGATCTTAAATCATCACAGAAGCTACGTGGTGCCGCTGACTTTCAGGGTTGGGTCAGACCTTTGTACAGATCGCTTCAATAGGATCCCAAGATAAATTAACTTAACCGCTAACGCGAGACCGCCTCGGCAAACGTTGTCGAGGGAGAGAGCAGCCCTAAACCCTCCCCCCCGAACCTTCTCCCCTTTCCCTTCCCGAACCCCCGGAACCCCCTTTTTTAGCCTGGCGCCCAGGAAGAACTTGCATTCCGGCCCTTAGAAACCAAAAAAGAAGCCGGGGGCTAAAGGGTATGTTGCAATGAGAACAGGCCATCCTGAAAGCAGTTCAGGCACACACAAACCACGTGGCTCTGTGAGCGATGAGGATCCCCTGCTGGGATGTACATGCCGCATCTATGTTACGAAAAGTTCAACATGAGACAGTTTGTGCGCTTTTCAACTTCACGGGTTCAGACACCTGGTCTTTTTGGCTGGTGCTTGTGAGCGTGTGAGAGCGAGCCTTTCGCTTGCCATTTTGGGCCACCCTTGGATAGGATGGTCACGTGCCTGTCTCGGGACACTCGGGTCTTTCTGATTTTGTTGTTTGTTTTGGTATGCGGTGCTGTTGCTGGACATGGCATGCTATCCCAGTGATTTGCACGTGCCGGAGACACTTTGTGGGGTGCTTTTCGCAGAGAACATGGGCATGACTGCTGTCCTCGCGCTGCCGGAGGCCGCGACAGGCTGGATGGTAGATCACATTCGCCGTCGTGGCATGTTGTCGTTGCTGTGGGCGGATGCTGTGACGGATCTCGTGGCCAAGGACGCCCTCTTGATGGCTCTAGTGGATTCAAGAGAGTTCCAGGCGAAGCGGCAGAAGCTTGATGGTGGCGTCAGCAGCGGGTACGGCACCCATTTGGTTTGAACTGTGCTGGCCGATACGTCTCCTTCCGCCCTGCGTGTGTGCCATTTTGCAGCCGAACCTCTGGGTTTGGGGCGGCAGTTGGATCCACCAGCCTCCCTACGCCGAGCACTAGGCAGCGAACCGTAGAAGGCTCTCCTATGGGAGAAGAATCTACCTCGCCGCCACGAATGGAGCCGACTAATGAGGAGACAGCGAGGAAGGTTCGCCAGGGAGTTTGGGGCGATACGACCACAACGGTGTTGCCTGAAGCTTATGAGCTTTTGGAGGAGGATCCAGATGCTATTTCTACTCCAGGGAGATTGGATCCTCAGCCAACCTACGAGGAGATTCTGGACATGGCCAAAGCCTCTGATGAGGTTTCCCCCTCATCAAGGACAGTCCAGAGTTTTCTCAGGAGTCAGAAACTCGATATGGAGGCCCTGTCACCAATCAAGCTTGTCCGTGCTCAGAAGCATGCAGGCGCTCATGGTGGTTTCTACCATGACAATTGCCGAGATGATCCACTAGTCGCCTTCAAACCCTGGCACATGTGCTATACTGGACCCAGAACACGGACTTCCCAGCGCAGCATCCGTATGAGAAGTACAGAGCCGCTGAGACACAGGTGTCTCAGTCTATGGCTCGTCTGAATCCGGTGTACATGGGCCGCAAGTCCAACAACGACATTGCCTTCAGGGCTGGTGACGTTCGCAGCACCTACGATGAGGAGCTGCTGGAGAAGGCATCAGATGCAGGCCTTCGTGTGGAGCGTGCGCGCAAGAAGCTCTACGAGAAGCTCCTTTCTGAAGGAGGTACTCGTGGGCAGCTTCAAAATGCAATGCTGCACCACTTCTTGGCTTTCAAAATCGCGGTAGAAGAGGCAGGCGGAGTGGAGGCTGGGGGGGAAGCCTGGGCTTCTGTGTGAACGCCCCATCAAGCCGGGGTCGGCGGATCTATAATAATCCTCTCTATTACAATCCCCTGTGTCCCTATGTAATCTCGGCTTAAAGAGTTTAGATTATAGTTCACATAGAGTTGCGGATGAGATCGCAGTCCGCATGTTGGTAGCAGTTGCCAGGCACGCGATGGCAGTTTTCATCTTGGGAGGCTAGTAGTGCGGACTAGGCCCTAGTCACTAGGCATCCTGCGTTGGAATTACATAGATGGAGAAAATTTTGTGTTTTGATGTTTTTGCGCAGCAAGAATGCCAAAGATGTCATGTAAATTCAGTACCCGAACACAGACAGAATTCAGAAGACTAGAAACCATGAAGCTACATGGGAACATCTAACATCTGATCTTGTTGTCGTGTAGGCGTGTGAGCAAAATAATTGACAAAAACGAACAGCCGAAACCAGCACACGAAACAACACAAGCAGCAACAAACACGAAAGTCCAAATCAAGCTTCGTAAGAGGTACCATAATTGTTGCATTTTTCAATTTTCGAATGTGTTAGTCAACCACGTTATTTTTGCTGGGAATGCAGGAACATTGCGAACAAGAGGAGCAATGATAGAAATTTCATGACAAGTTTGTACCATTTGGACTATTTGGATGCTGTCAGTTGTACCTGTACGTGCATGATGGCCAGGTGCTAGATACAGTATCTGCTGTGCATGAAACTCTATAGCCATTCAGTAACATCGTGCAGAGCGTGGAGGCAGGAGGAGGGAACACAGCGTAATCTTTGAATAGCCGGCATTTTTTTCTCGCAGCATTGAGCCTTCGATAGTTTGCGTAGTAGTGCCTGTGAACAGCATGGGCCGACAAAACGCTTGCCAAAGGACTTGCTGTGCATTAAGCTTGCTTAGCCTCAGAAGCCACATACTCGTATGTCAAGCAGGAGATTTTGCAAGCGGCTGTGACATCTGCCAGCCTGGCAGAGATGACAGGAGGCCTTCTGGAGCATCTACTCTAGGAGCATCACTCTCAAATTCCAGTTTTGCCTCAGGCCTGGGCAGAAGTTCTGCCGCAGGGGCAGAGCTGCCGCGTCTCACAAGGCACATTTCAAAGAACACCTTGGTGTATTGGAGCTGCTCCTGTGGATGTCACACCTGGCTCCTGTATGCTCCTGTCATTCTTGGGATGCGCCAAGATCCATGTACCCTCAAAACCTACTGGTTTAGGTTGACCAAACCGCAGAGATGCGATGCCGGGCACCTGGTTGGGAAAAGACTCGAAAGTTTTTCAAGGCTCCCAGACAAAGCGCATGTGATTGGTTACCCACCAATTGCTCTAAGACCGCAGAGCCACCAGCAGGCCAGGGGCCTAGCTACAGGATACCAGTTCTTCAGAAGGTGGGATTCTGGCTACCTATTTGAAATGTTTGCATCAGCTGCATCAGCCGCTGCTATCTTTTTTGCCCTTACGGAACAGCACATCACGCAACTTTGCTCTAAAAGAGCTCAGCTGGCTTACCCCCAAGAGAGGATCCATGCTTGGTAAGGATGAGAGTCTTGCATGGAACCATCCGGCCATGCTTCGTAAGGATGAGAGTCTTGCATGGAACCATCCGGTTTTGCGGAGATAGCTCAGGTGCCTTGGTGCGAGTCCTGCGCCGAGCACAGAACGACCTCCGGGCGCTCTGGGGACACGTGGGGATCAAGGCCATGCACTGGGGATACAATGGCCCTGCCAAGTTTCAGATTCGGGATATCCCAGATGTTCATGAAGGCCATTGCAGAAACAAGGATCTGGACAAGCAGACGTTTGTCTTCGGTGAACTCTTTTTTGAGGATCATGTACCGAAGGTGGAAATCTACGACTGGTTGCTAGTCCCGGCTACGAAGCTCATTCTCTCAGCAATGTTATGGGATTTTCGGGTACCTGCAGGTTGGTCTCGCGGTGCCAGCAACTGGAAGTCTGGACTGGGAGCTTTTGGTGCTGGATGCTGGAAAGGCTGGGCTGGCAGCCTGAAGCGTAACGTTCTTGAAGCGATTGCAGCTTGCAGCAAAGGTGTCCATGCTATCCGCAGCACGGCTACGGCGTGGTGATCGCATCGTACGCGTGGCGGAGGCCGGCAAGCACCAGATGAGCAGGAACTATTCTTCATCATGTACAACCATGCGTCGCATGCTGACTGCAGTGCTGTTCAGACTGTTTCTCTTCATTGGCCAGGTGACAGAGCTGCGCGCAATGCAGCTTGGCAATTTTGCAATTGAGCTGTGATGTCATTTGCAAGTGCAGCCTGCTCCTGATGAGCCTTCTGGTCCAGCCTGTACACGAACGCTTCTGAACCAGCCTGTAATTCGAATTGCTGCACGCCGCCCGCCTCGGCCCAGCTCTACGTGCAGCGCGGTGAGGCAGTAGATGGTGGAGAATTATCTAAGGGAGGGTTTTGGAGGATGTGGATGTGGTGGTTGGGAGGTGGAGGGTGGGCAAGGGATAGCTCGAGTTGGGTGCATAGGGAGTGGGCAAGGGACATCTAGTGTGTGGGAGTCCCTTTCGAGCAGTGCCTAGAGGATATGGGCATGGGATATTTAGGGTCTAGGGGCCTTGAAAACAGTAAGAAAACATGGATTTCTATAGGAGGAGGGGGGGTAGGAGGAGGGTTCAACAGGGTGTTCCTGTGGCGACCTACATCCATACTCGCTGTATTCCAGCAAGCTAAACACCTCATCATTCTCCAGCACCCAATCTGACATTTTAAAACCTTATGTACGCAAAAGTGAGACGTGTTTTCATAATGGAACATCGTACCCGTTGGATCGACGGGAGGATCGTGCGGCTTGCTCTGCTGGATTCTTGTGGAGAGGCAGAACCACAGGCCTCCACCTTTTGTTGCAATGTGTTCTGCCATAGCGATGACAAACACAGGTTGAGCAGTCGGTTTTGGGGCTGAAGCTGACATGCTTTGGGGATGGGGGTGAGTGAAGGTGCGGCATGGGGCACGGCTCGCACACGCTACACGCATGTGCTGGTGCATGCAGCCTGGTTGTTGTTTCTCATGTTTTTCCTTTGAGACTGTCTTAGCAGTGCTTTGCATATTGTTATACAGGGTGTCGGCATACTAGCAGTTCAGAAGCTACTGATCAAGATTTGATGCTACGATACAGCCTTTTCTGTTTCGGCTTGCCTCTGAGTGGTTGCTCAAGCGAGGATGTTGACTTGTTTGAGAGTCTTGTCCAGGCAGTGGAGCTGGAGGTTGAGTTCCGAACTTTGGCAGAGGCCTGCCTGCATATCAACGCGTCCAACAACGGTCAACGTTTTGCGATTGAATGATGGACAGACGTCTCTCTGTGCAGGCTGCATCCGTGGCCGAGACGGCTATGCCACTAAAGTGCCAGGCACAACTTTGTATACATCACCTTCTTATCATTTCTATTGCCTGCAAAGCCTGTGGCTTCTAGCAGACGCATGCTGCAGCAGCAGCAGCACATTTGCCCACTCCTGCGGCTTGTGCAGGGACTTGACCTGTCCGACTGGGAGGACAGATCTCCATGGAATTCTTGCCCTAAATGTCACAGCACGAAAGGCGTGGTCAAGAACGCATTCCTTGGCAGGCTGCCGCAAAACAAGGTAGACAAATTGCATGCTGTTGAGCCTGGGCTGATATGCGTGATGTGGCGCAGGAGGACGACCTCCCCTCGCTGCCGTGACTTGCTTGCGCCTGCAGAGCTGTTTTTTGAGTATCGTGACGGAGAAGATGCCAAGGTATTGAGGAGCGTTCTAGATGTTCTAGCCTGCATGTCTTCAACCTCCAACTTTCTTATCTCTCTACAAAATCATTGGCATGTCTTGTTATTTGCATATGCTGGAATTCACCGTTCACCAACTGGCAAGAACTCGATGCAACAACAATATTTGCATATGCGGTTACGGCAGGATCAGGATCAGATGCATTCGGATAGTGAGGGGGTACCGAAGCTGTGGAGATTGGCCATAATACACACTTACACGCATGGTTGACTGAAGATGGGTTACGTGCGATCTGAGCTGCAATCAAAGGTGGAAGACTTTTGCTTTCCGGACATCGCATGGGAATTATCATTCTAGATTTCGGAGTGAGCATACAGCATACATGCACCCAAACACATGGAAACTGCGAGCAGATGCTTAGAAGACCAAGGAGCTACTCAGACAGCAGCCAGAGCCTGGATGTGCTGGCTGGAGTTGCTGGGCCGTATTACCAGCAGGTTCCCTTCACAGGTTTTGGCTCATTCAGAAGGCCTGCCAGTCCTTGGGCCCCAGACCTGATCATCTCTGGCAATTTGGTTTGTGGAGCAGCGGCCCTATCAGTAGGATTTACATTTGATCAGGTTGTTTACAGAGAATTTCGCATGGAAGCGGTACCATCCTTCCAGTCAAGTGGTTTCGAGCTGACTTCTCATTCAAGCTTCCACGAAAGAAATGGAATCTCATTTAATCTGAAGGGTTCGACTGTCCTCCATGCGTAGGCCATGACCCTCGAGATGCTAGCTACTAGCGTTCAGCCATGCGCCCCGAAAGGGTACCAAAAGTCTCCCAGACTCTCAAGAGAGCGGCCAGGTGGGCGAGAGCCGTGAACGCTCCATGATGATTCGGCTGAGGAGGTGCGAATGTGGTTACTCGTTCCACACTTGAAGTGCTTGGAGCTCTCCCCCCCACATTTGGTTTTTATTTGCGCATTGCTTCATGCCAGCTGATGTCAGGGTGATCCGCAGCCTCCGGCAAGCTGAGATCCAGGTTCGGACCTGGCTTGGTGCCCAACAGACATGGACTGGTGTGCTTCCAGGGCCTAGAGGCTTATGGTGATAAAGAATTGTCCAAGCCCTTATTGAGGCTATACCACCTCAACTTGCGACTTTCAGGGAGGACCTCCCTAACATCTTCGGTACCTACAGGTGCTGTTGGACAAGATGATACTGCAGGGGGAGCGGCGCCCTCACCTACTCACGGAGTTGTGCCTCATGAAGGTGCCATGTTGAAGTGCACATGGTGATGTGCTCATTGTTCAGATTCTCATATGAGATCCTGCGTGGGATCAACTTGCTGCACCTGCACGGCCCTCTTTGCGCGTGGCAAGCTGCAAGCTGGCCCTGAGGCCCCTGGTATCTGGATCCACCCCGGACCCCACGGATGGAGCAATTGCCCTTGAGGCCGTCCTCGCAGGCTACTAATGTTCTAAGCAGACTCCGAAGCAGTCGCACTGCTGCCAGCAAGATCCATGGTCGCATGCTGTTGCATGCTACATGGTCAGAGCCTGCAGGTGGAGCGGCTAAGCCAGACTCTGCTGCATGTGGCAGGCCAGAGTAGTGCAGTTTCTCGATCTTGACAGGGACCAGCACTCGAAAAAGAAATGGTCAGTGTCGCAAAACCGACAGGCTTCGTGACCAAACTTGCCTGGCTTCGGTCTTGTGCGCGCAGGTCTGGAGGGCCTCGAGGGCCAGACTGAAGTGCAGAAGGCAGCAGTATATTTGCATGGCCCATAGTATCCCCATACTTGCCCAGTCATTTCTGCAGGTCAGGCAATGCCAAATTGGTAGGTTATCTTGGTAAGCAGCTGTGGCAGAGGTTAATGGCTCATGCTTTGGTTTGGTTCATGAAGCTTTTGCGAAGAGAGTTTGTTGCGGTGGGTCTTCAGAAATGGTTGGGCGGACCCGATCGAGATTTTTCGCCATGAGTCAGGGCCTCCGACTTTCTAGAAGCCTTCCAAAATTGAGAGGGTGATTTTGTGGGGACAAACTGCAAGCATGACATCGCAGCTATCAAGACGGTCGCGAGGGAGCAGAAAACAAAACCGGCCACAGTTCAATTCCTATCTCTCTCTGACGATCACTATGGCGGAAGGAACGTGCGCACCCACTTGTGCTCGTCTCGAATCTGTGACGTTCTTTGCTGAGATGGTTTCGACCTTGATTTGTCTGAGGGTGCCAAACACTTCCCAAGCAAGGGATGGCAACAGGATATGTTGCATGGCTCAAAGTTTGGGTTCAGAGGGGTTGCTGACAGGCTGGTGGCAAGCAGCTCTGGAGGGCCCTGGTGGATGGCCGCCAAGGCAAGAGCTTGACAAGAAGTTCAGAATTCCTGACGGGGCGTTACCCCGCAGTGTGCGATAATCCACTGTCAATGTCAGGTGCCGACCGTGTTGGGGCCGCCGTGGACCAGGAGACTGCAACCAGCAGATACAGGTCTAGCTGCCAGTAGCTGCTATCCACTCACTCTGCCGAAAGGAAAAGAACAAGGCTTTTCCTTGAGAGGACCTACCAGTGCCCGTCAGCAGCTTGTGGTCGGAGGCCTGCGCCTTAAATCGGAGGGCTCTCATCCTCTTCCGCAGCTGGCTTCACCTCAAAGGAAAGCAATGCTTTCATTTTGAGAGAGGGATCCTGTGCAAGGCGCTTCTGAGGGTCGCGATCGAGGCGTTGGAGCTGCGGCGAGAGGCGACCAAGGGGGAAAACAACTCTAAGGCGCATGTGTGACACCAACATGAATGCTCCAGCAAAGTTAAAACACTTATGAGCCGCCACCACTGTTGAACAGCTATTAGAGCTGCTTGTAGCTGTTCGTCACCAGTGTTTGTGGCTCTTCTTGCACCCTTCGAATTTAGGGCAGCGCTTTCTCGTGTCATAACTAATGTGCACAGTCTCTGGAGCAAGAATGCTTTCACGGAAGTGATTCCCAAGAACAGTCCGTCGTGACTGAGGATGCGAGGGGTACCAGCCAGTTAGGAGAATCAAGGTTTTCGATTTGGGTTATGCAGCAGCTGTACAAAAACTTGCACAGAGCAAGGTTGGGCAAGAAGGCTTGTTTTCTGGAGGTATTCAGTGGCACAGGATGTAACGGGTGATTCTTTCTGGGTATGTTGGCAGGAGCTCACATCCTATGCCGAGATGTGGTCAATGCGCCGGAGCCCTTTGGAGAGAGCTGTGTAGCGTATTATAGCGTCTTAAGAGTTGTTTGCAAGCAAGCCAGTTGACCCCTTCAACGTGGCAAATAGTTTATGAGAACATGGGGGGTGAACACAATTGGATGCCAAGGTGTTTAGCATGTTTAGCAAACACCTGCGCCTCCCCCGGTCTTGGATGTAATTTTTTCGTGTCAGCTAGAACGCAAGTGTTTTTCTCGGGTCTGAGATTTTGCATCATTGTTGAGAGAGCAGGCTGATTGAGGCTGCTTATGCTGTCAGATGCTCTCTGCATATGCCAGTGCAGGTCTCATCGAGGCAGAGCATTACAATCAGCTAGATGAGGCCAAGCTTCGCTTGCAGCAGGTTGCAGGGAAAGCATCGTGTGTGCTGTGCTGAAACTGAGAATCGTAGTGGCTGACCTGCAAGCTGCGTTCGATGGATATTGTGATGCTTGACTCAAGGCCTAGGCAGGGAACTTGTAAAGGACGGCACAGTAGGGGGTCTCATGACGGTTTCGTGATCGCTTAGCCAACTACTTTTGCAGTCGCTTGGCTACATCTTTGGCTGAGGTAAGTCCCAGCCCTGAGCCCAGAACATCCTGAACCACTAAACCCCCTACGGTCCCTACCCTGAAGTCTCAGGCCTGAAGCCCAAACCATTATAAGTCCTTTAAATACTCCTGAACCCTGCATGTAGTCAATTACACAAGTCTGAACCCTCGTGCCTAAACCCAGAAGTCTGTGCCATCAACGCTGAGCCCCAAACCCTGCATCTAACTCCTCAATCTTGAATATGTAAGCCCTTCACCCGGAATATTGCAACCAGCAACCAGCACATTCATCAGAAGGATAGGTAGACCGACAAGGGAATGGATCAATGAAATTCGGAAGAAAGCTGTTGAATTTTGAAGGGATGTTCCCGTGAATCAGCCAGGTTTGTGCCGAATCCTGTGGCATGGCGTCAACCGGTGTACCCGGCCATGTGTGTCCACGTGCCGTCGTGCGTATGACTGACTGGGTGAGGGACTGACTGAAGTCCCCCGAAGCAAAGTTTACATTTTTGATTCGACGCCAGCTCATGACCCACAGCGGGATGAAACTTTGACACGGCCCATTGGCCCAGAACGTCCCCTGTTGCAAACCTTGCATTTGCATTTGACGCATCTAGCAACATATTTCCAGTCAGGCCGCATGTGCTTCGGAAACTGTGCATGCATGTTGATTTGACATGATTTGAGGTAGACGAAATCCGAGCCCCTTTTCCGTGCGTTCCCAAACCAAATTCGCACTTTGACAAGTGCTCCCGGCCCAAAGCCGAGCCCCCCAGATCAAAGCTGAGCCTTTTCTGACCACATCCGAAAGCACACTCCCAGACCAATTCCATGTTTGTTCAGGTCAAATCTGGGCTGACCGAATCCACGCTGTGCGTTTTTTTCTTTGGTTCGCTGTGAAGGTGTCCTTGGGGTCGGCATGTCTGCCCATTACGATCCATTACGTATTGCGTGCTCACCAGCAGGCAGCAGTGCCTCACACACAAAACAACCTGAATACCCATGCCCCTGACACGTCAACCCTAAACTCTGCAGACCGAAAAGAGCCTGACAACGAAATCCAAATTCGAAGCCCTCAGGGTTGAGTCCTGTTCCTAACTTCAGCCTCAAGGCCTCATATCTAAGCCTTGAACCCCAAACACTAAAGTCTACGACTTCAACTTGTCCTAAACAATGCTCCTAACTCTCAAATTTGCAAGCAGTAATATTTATGCCTGGAACCCTCAACCCTAAAGTCTTATCTCGTCAGCCCTGAGAGTTCCAAAGCTGCCTGTGAATTCTAGCCACAACCCTCATCTCCTGAACCCTAAACCCTGGCGTCCGAAGAAACCCTCAAAGGAGCCATGAACCGCCCTCCTAAATACAGCCCCCAACCACGTTCTCTAAGCCAGCAAACCTAAATCCTAGGGGTTAAGCTTTCAGCTCTAAGGTTGCAACCCCGGCTCCTGATCCCCAACCCCGAAGTTCCAAGCAAGCCACCCTAAAGTCAAAGCACACAGCCCCCAGCCCGAAGCCCTGCAAACTCTTTGATTGTGCACGGAACCTTCATGTTAGTGTCGGCGAAGGAAAGCCGAACACTCACGGCCAACTCTCACCACCCCAAAACCGGAAGCGATTGGGTCTTTCCTCGTCCAACGTTTCGGCTTCAACGAGTGCGATTGGTCCCTGGCATGAATGAATCGTGCCAGCAAACACAAAATACCTGCTCACCTCCAAGTAAAACACAGCTGCAGACTGCAGCGGAAGATGCCGAGGAGATGACCGTGCTTGCCCTTTGTCAGGTTGCAGCGGAACTGCGGCACTGTACGTGCGGCACGCATGTATCTTTTCATGAGGGCATTTATTGCGCCGCCCCCACGCCACAGCACATGGGGGTGTCGCTCACTGGAAATGCTGATGGCGATCAGGCGCTGGCTGCGCTTGCTCCGCTAGCTCTGAGACAACTGGTGATCTATGAGCCTGCAAGCGGCCCTCGGTGATGCCTGCTGGCTGAGCCACACATGACAAAGCTTATGCTCATTAGCAATCAATGGTAAATCCGAGAACCCCCCCACGACACCAAAGCCTTTGTGTCGCTTAGCCTCTTCACTACCACGTCCCAACCGAGTACTGTGGAAATGGTGCCGTCCAAACAATTGCACCAGTACAACAAGGGACAAGCACAATGCATGGTTGACTGCCGCGGACATGAAGTCACATCTGAGTTCCCGGAACCGCGTGCGGAACAAATTTGTTTGCTTGCTTTTTGAAGCTCAGCAGCTTCTCGTGGGTCAGGTGAAGGGCAAACTTCCCGCACCACGCACCAGCTCATTCGTGAGCCCCAAAATCCCTGTTCCTAACTCTAGCGCCCAATTGGCAACCCTTAACATGTATGCCCTGAACCTTGAAGCCTGGGCTCTGGGCCCCCCAAAGCCCAAACCCCAGGCCAGACAGCCCCGAGCCCTGAACCTGAAAGACCAAGCTCCCAACCAACAAACCCCGATCCTTACCCTAAGCCCTGAACGCCTGCTACGTTTGGGCCTCTAACCCGAAAGGCCTATCTCTAAACTGAAAGCCTTGAAACCAACGCCCCAAGCCATGCGAGGCCAAGCCCTGACGTGATCCCAAAATGCTAGAGGCCAACTCCAAAGCTCTGCCACTTCTCAACGTTGACCATAAACCCCGCTTGGAAAACCCTAGCATCCAAGCCTTCACCATGCCACTTCCATCCGAACCCTTGTCCGTCTCCAAATTGACAGCTGGCTTTAAACCTTAAGCCCTGAAATTCCGATCTTTCAGCTCCAACTCTCCAGCCCTAAGCGCCTCATAGTCGCGGTCAAAATTACCGTTTACATCATTTAGTCTAGGCGGTAGTTGTTTCGCAAAAATCCCCGAGATCGATAGGGGACGTCCTACAACTATATGCTTAATTCATTTAAGGATTTAAGGTATGGTTAAGAGAAGATCCCCAAAATGTGGAAATCGAGGGGGACGCCCTAAATCAAAAACCAAGAGAGAACGAACAAGTAATTTTGACGCCACCTCATATGAGCTCAAACCCTTGACGTCTACGGCATTAACTTCCCCAGATGTCTAAACCTCATTACAAGTCACGTCAAACCAGTGCCAAGTGAAGAAGCAATATGGGTCTGTGTGGTAGACGGAAGTACCCTTCCTGTTCAGATCGATGAGACCATTGGCTGGGTTGCCCAGCAGATCGATTGCCTGAAGGCTGTGGCGGGACTCCGCAAAGATGATGCGCAGCCCCCCTCTGGATAATTCGAAATCTGGGCCATTAGGTTTGTGTGGGCAGAGCAGTTCTGCATCTTTGCCAAAAGAATTTTTATTCACTGACGTAGAAGACTGTGTGGTCCCCAAGGCTCTCGAGTCACCGAATTCGCTGCTTGTTGCAGTTTGTCATACTTTTTGAGAATTCGTCTCCCAATGTGAGCTTCAGGCCCAGACCTAACAACGACATCCTGCTTTTATGAAGAGGTCTGGACCCCCAAAAAGAAGGCATCAAGACTCAGTAGCGGAGATGTGCCTCGTACATGTGAACAATCTCGTACTGACCCAAACGCTTCCCGCACCAGGATCCTGATCTGTGGTATCGTGTCCCATTATGTCGTCGCACATTCCCATGATGGCCTGATTTCAAAAATTTCAAAAATGGTAACAGATGCCAGGCCAAAGCACAGCAGTCACTGCTCCTGAAGCGTGTGGAGGCAGAGGGTGCAGGCCTTGGAAAGTCCCGCGTGCCAGTGGGCTCTGCAGACACAGCAGTTGAGTTGTGACACGGGCACAAGCGATATTACCAGCAGCTTGGTCCATCTAATCCAGATGACATCAATTGCAGCTTTCAATGGGGTTTCTGGGCAAGCTTTTCTAATGGGTGGGTGGGGTCTTGTTGCCCACGGATTTGTTGACCGCTTCCGTTGTCAGACCGGCCGGCGTCGTGCCTGTTGGACACGAGCTACCCGAAGGACATTGCTCTGAAATCTGGAGCATCCTCCACCCAACACTGAAATTATTCCGTATCAGCCACCTCGAACATGCAGACAGGAGACATGGTGTGAGATTTCTTGTCTTTTGATTATTGTCCTGAGGTTGTGATCGTACACAGAAATTTATATGTTTCCTGTATATCTTTGGTGCTCTATCAGCGGGTCTGCTGCATCGTCACAGCAGAGCCGACCTGCAGTCTCAGCACAGTTTGGGCAGAGCGGCAGAGCTCAAATACCTCGTCTCTGTAAAGGTGCGACTAGGTCGTATCAGCATCATGCTGTGCAGGACTCCAAAGTGAGACCTTCTCCGCTAAAATTGCGATGGGTGCGCCAGCAGCTGCTTGCTTCCCAAGTCGATCATGCGGTGGCTCAGAATCCACTCAAATGCCCAGGCCATGCTCAAGAAACCTGCACGCGACCTTGCCAAAACCCCAGTTGCAGCACCTTCTGTGATGTCCAACTTCCTGGGTCCGAGAAGTCCCGGTGGCCACTGGCCGAAGGTGCGTGAAGTTGCACGTCTGAGACCTGTGCGAACGCAGAAGGTGCAGCTCTTAGTCTTTATCTCAGTCCCGCACGGAGTCAGTGCCTCTTCAGCGGAGCAAGTTCAATTGAAGACTCGCCTTTTGGTGGAGGCGCCGGAAGCGAAGACTTCGCAAGGCTGGCTCCAAGATTCATTGATGCTGCCTTTTGTTTGCAAGATGAAGGTGTTGGTGCCTGTGCTGTCACAGCTGTTGGGCTTAAGGGTTGAGCGAAAGCTATCCAGTGACCTAAATCATAAGTTGATACTCGTGTGCACATATGTGTATGTAAAGGTCCAAGAAGAGACGCGAACTGGCAGCTGTTCACCGCCGACAAGCATGATTTTTGTGCGCGCGAAAATTGTGCAAGCCATGGCCACGCGCCTGGGCTTCGCGGCCCTGGCGCCGCTAGCGGCGCTGCTAGCCTCCCGCCTGGGACAGCGAGCCAGCATTCCGCAGCACCTGCTGAACCACATAGCTTTTCACCAAGGCTCAACGTCCATGTGCTGCGAGTAGCACTTGCTGGTTGCTGCCCGTTTTCTGACCAGATGACCTCATTGATGCGCAAAGCGGCCAGCTGCTGAACCAGGTCCTTCGCGAGATGGCTGCCGATATGACTCTCGGCACGGTTTTTTCGGGATGTGCTGCTTGTTTTCATACTAAGCAGCTGGGCACAGAAGTGAGGCTGAATTGTCTTGTGACGTCCCGACGTACCTTCACAAGCTTGCATCTCTCAACCGGAGCTGCCCGATCATGCACAGGATTGGCCTTCCAACGAACGTCGCAGCTGACCTGAAGCACCTGGACGAATGAAGGAACGCCAGAATCCCAAACTTCCAAAGGATAAATGTCCTTGGGCATTGCAGCATGCACCGAGGGACGATCACGAGTTGTTTTGAGAAGGGACACACAAGTTGATTTGCTGAGGACGGCCGTGCGGCCGTTGCATCGTCATGTGGGCGAAGCGCGCCCCGTCGAGGTCCCACATGAGAGATCCGTGGCAAAGTGCGCAGTGTAAGGCCTCTGCAACCAGTGGGCCGGAAGCCTGCCTGGACAGGCGGATGGGAGCTGCTCTCACCATCTGCTGGTTCGCGATGCCAATAGCCCGCCGGCAAATCATTCAGTACCTCCTCGAAGGCAACGCGTTCTGAGGCTTTTGAGCTAAATCCTTTGCAGACTTGTCAAACGATTTGCGAACAGCCTGTCTTTAAGAGAGCGGAGTCTTCCATCCGTTGATTGCCAAGTTGCAAAAGCTGGGATCTTTGGTTGACTTGGGTTGTTACAGTTTCCAGAAATTTTAGACGCGATTGCGAAGCCAGTGAATGGAGGTTGGGTGCCCAATACGCTCAGACTTGGATTAGGGTCTCCCACCTGACAAGGACATGTTGACGGCCTCCTTTGACTCAAGCCGGTAGGGTGAGGCAGGAGCCTCCAGGATCTTTCAATGGGAACAGCAAGAGTCCCGAGGCCCGAATCCATTTTGATTGACTAAAATGGGTAACCTGTGTTGGCGGCCTGGTAGCCTCAGCAGCACAATTTGGTACCAAATCAGCCATTTCTTGATCTCGATTACTGCAATGAGACTCAGATCATCCCTCGACTCCCTGCAACTAAAACTCTTTTGGTGCCATTGGTGCTCCTTTGGGCAGCATTCTGGGTCAACCCACGTCTGCACTCCAGACACAAACACCGGTTGCTGCTGTCGAAGAAGACTTTGATACTGGATTCTGGGAGGGCCGGGAGCAGCGCTACAGTTTACAAGGGACTTTAGCAAAGAGTACAAACCCTCCCGCCTCTGAGGCACTGAGTGCGTGTTGCCTCAGCGCATTGATGTTGCCAAGCACTACATCATGACGGGAGGGCCAGAGGCGAGGGCACGGCCTCATCAGTCCGCACTTTTCTGGATGCCAACTCCAGGCCATCCGAGAGCCCTTCGAAGACATGGTCTCTCGGGTCTCCTCCTTTGGGCGCTACATGTGCCTGGAAGCCGCGTTTATACTTGCGGTTTGGGCATGCTGCGAAGAAGGTTTGAGAAGCTGCAAGGAAGGCGGGGGGTTGCTGGAGCACCCTCTATGCTCGAGTACAAACTGCTGCACGAAAAGTTGTCTGCCTCAATTCCTTACCAGTAACAGTAACATATTGTTGCTCCAAACCACCTGTTGCTCTTGTCTTGAAGGGTGTCGGCTTAGTGCCGCATGGGGTCCCACTATATCCTGAGACTATTGCCAAAGTGCTGAGGTTCAACTTGTCTGAAATGCCAGTAGTCGAGCAGCTCTTCGCGGGTCCAAAGTTCCAGCACGCCGCGAAGAGCGTCTGCCCGCCCAACAAGCAGATTCTTGACCCTTTCCAGCACACATCGTGAGAGCGCATCCTGCAAGTAGGATTGGGATTTCTTAACGGCTTGATGCATTGACCAGTAACATTGTGTTCACGCAAACAGGGAACACAGTGAGATATCTGAGACATGGTGCAGCTTACGCTCCTAGAAAATGGCTTGTCCTGTGTTTTCAAGATGCTTGAAAGTCATGCAACAGCAAATGCCTGCATTCCAGCAAGAAAGAAGGGAATCCATCTGTCACTCGCACCTCAGCATGCTCAAGCAGCACACGGTGCACGGAAGGCTCGCAACGACACCCTGTAAGGAAAGCTCACATCCATGAGCTGAGACATCCACAACAGATGAAGGTCATCCAGCCCTTGACAAGCCTGTTACAGATGCGTTTAACGGACCAACTTCTGTTCCTAGAAGGTGACCCAGTGCAGTGAGCCGTGATTTGTCCGGCAAAGATAAAACCCACCAAACTTATCAGAAAAGCATTCCTCCCTCGGCGGTCTCAGAGTTTCTCAGGAAATGCTGCGAAATTATCAGCTTGCACGGGCTGAGTTGTTGTAGGGACCCTGCTTTGTGTCGGTGTATCCAAAATGGGACGGTGTGGGCGACAGTGACTGCTTGCACTACCTTGACCGTAGCAGACGCTCCTGTATCAGGACCCTTTCCAGTACAATTTCATCCTGTCAGTGCCTGGGCAGACGGTTGCGCTGCACCTGGATGCTCCGTGGTTCTTGGGTGCCACCCGCACCCAGGCAGACAAGTGAATGCCCTTCGAGTAGCTGGCATGTGGCTTTGTCCGGCTTTAAGCCTTGTCGCAATGTTCACTGTTTGTCCTCCTGCCCAGCACAAGTCCATCCGCGCATATATGCGTAAACAAGGCGCGCGCAGCATCTTTATGAACAATGAACAAGATGCTTTTGTGACGTGTTCAGATGTGTTTGGTTCGAAAAATGTGGTGCAAGTGTGCTGAGGCTTCCAGTTCCCGCAGTGGCTGTTCCTTGGCAAGATTTAGTTACTTGGTTGCTCTGCGGTGCGTGATGGCACACTGTGGTCGCAAATAGTCAGCGCCGCAAGTGCCCGCACAAGCACGCACAGCACCCAAGCCTTCTCACCCGTCCACTTTTCACCATTACTCACGCATTGAAGCTTTGGCTCTCGATGTTTGGAAAGCTGTGGTACTTGTTGTTGTCCTCAATGCTTTCGCAAAGGCTTCTCTCTGTTCAGTTTGGCATCATTGCCCTGACAGTTGGTAGGTTCGACGTCTCTTGCTGACATGTGTTGCTGTGCGAAGTGCGAGGCTGGCTGTGATGGTTTTCTCCAACCTCTTTCAAGATCGATTTGTGGATCAGGCAAGGTGACAGTGGTCCCTTGTTTAATTGTGAAACGTGCGGGATTTCAAGCAAGAAAGGGCTCCAGACTCTCATCTGGCATGGGTGCAGGTCCAATGGTAGATGCTTGACGCACCAAGTTTCAGACAGTGTTCAGTGGAAACTCATCGGTCTCATCCCATATCCCAAGCACTGATCCCTGACCCTAAACCTCAAACCTTAAAAGCGATGGCCCAGAGCAGGTGCAGGTTGTTGGGTATTTGCACGATCGTCCAGTCGTCGACGATGATGCCGGAGGTGGCCTGCAGAGCTTGGTCTCCATCCCATCAGGCATATGAAGTTGCACATCTAAGGTTGCGGTATGTTGCGGTTGCTCCCAGCAGTTCTTGGATCTGTGCGGGGCTGTGATGGCGGCTAGCATCGTTTCAGCATCACTCTGTAAGCATCCATTTGCACTCCAGTCCATGGAAATGGTAAGCAATCATACAAAACCCCACGCAAGAGCCCAGTTCAGAGCTAGCGGCCCTGCAGAGTCCCCGCTCTGAAGCTGCCCGTCATGTCCAGGCCGTTTCTTGTATTACAACGCGAACTCAGCAACGCCCGAGAGTGTCTTGTCCAAGCCCCTATCTGGAGTGGCAGCGCCTGGACTCTGAGTTGGTGGTACTTCCTCTCGTTCTTTGGCTGTTTGCAGAGACTTGCTAGGCTTTGGGGCTAGCACCTGGGTGAATGTCAAAAACACACATCTGAACTGCCTTGAGCCTGTGGTGGCTACTAATCGCTTCCCCTTAACATTAAACGATGTCCCCCCCCAATATTAGATATTCCGGGCCCCGAGAATTTTTTTCTATATTGGGAGGGGGGGATATTTATTGAAGGGATTAGATAGGGCTACTTATAAACTCCGTGTAAATTCAATGGAAAATGAATAGATATTTAAAGACATTGGATGAATTGATTACATCTTTCTTGAAATCGAATTAAAATACTGTTGAAATCCATTGAAATTCAAGTAAAACTCTTTTATAAATCGAATGAAATCGAATTAAACTCCCGTTAGAATCAATTGAAATATTATGAACATTCCTTTTAAATCACTTGAAACTTGATGAAACAACTTTTTAAAGTCAGTTGAAATCCACTTAAAATTCTTTTCAAAATCTATTGAAATTTGATTAAAATTCCTTTCAAAATCAATTGAAATTTGATTGAGATTCCTTTTAAAATCAATTGAAATTTGTCATTTTTAAAATTCATTGAAATCTAATTAAAATTCCTTTTCAAAATCAATTGAAATTTGATTAAAACTCTTTTTACAATCAAAAATCCATTGAAATCTAGTTAAAATTCCTGTTAAAATCAATGGACATCGAATTTAATATCAATTAAAATAAGTAAATGCGGCAAAAGTTGTAATAAAATCAATAATCAATTAAAATCGCTTCAGTTCTTGTATCTAAAATCCTCTATTAAGACCATATGAAAAGCAATCAAAACCTAGGAAATGAAGGGGGTCCCTGATTCCTTTGTATTTCTTCTTAGGCCCCCTAATGACCTCAGAACCCCCCCTAATTCATTATTAGCTGGCCCTTTTAAAAGTAGGCTTCCCCTTTCAACAGTAGTCTTCTGGATTTTTAGGCCCTTGAATTTATTAGTCAATATTAGGGGGAGATTTAATATTGGGGAGAAAGGATTAGTCAAAATTGCAGTCTCGGAATCGCTAGTTCAGCGCGCAGAAAACCTTGCTTTCAAAACTTGGGGATATGCAGGTTCGGGTGAGAAGTGTGTAGACTCGCAGTCCTTGGAAGGTAGTTTGCTGACCTTCCGTTGCATCCCGACATGAAAGCCTCCTGCCGATTTTTTTTCCAATTGCAGTAGAACTTCCAGAACCACACTGCATGGGCACCTCCGCCATGTGAAGTTGGCAGCATAGATGGTCAGATGCCCGCTGCAGGATTCGATTCGGGGACCAGCGCAAGCGGAATCTTTACGACAGTCGTCCTTTGTGCGCGCTCACATGTTTATGTGATTTCAAAAGTGCCAACAATCATAGCGATGGGGCAGCACGGATGTGACTGTCGTGACTAGGTTCCGTCTACCAGGTTCTCCAGAGTGCCAACAGCCATGGTGATAGGCACCATTCGTTACTGTCCATTGTTGGAGTGCGCATGCCACGCTTGTCTGCGGTGTGTGCAAATCCTCAATTACCATTGCTAGCACTTCAAACGCTGCATGTGAAACACATGTAAAAGGTATTTTTCGCAGATGCAAGCCTGCAACACCCCTGACACCCACCTGCAATCACCTGCCCACACCCTCGGTACAGAGAGGTGGGGAATATTGACCCACTTTTACAGGCTTCTGCTAAAGCTCGCTCAGTCCGTACAAATCCTTCTCTCTTTACAGTGCTCTTGTTGCTCCCATCAAATCCGTATGACAGCTCTTTGTGGTAAGCACTCGGCGGAATAGGGCTGACCCCCTGGAAAAATACCCTCCCTAGCACCCTCCGGTAGGAGGGTGGCCCACCATGTGATCCAGAAGAGCTTGTTCAGGTAGATGGAAGCAAGACCCTGCATGCGGCCGGGGTCTTCCGGCCAGATGTCAAAGCGCCGCTGTTGGACAAGGTGGCTGGCAGATGTGATTGCCAGAATGGTCCTGATTTACATTGGGGAAGTCATTTCAAGCTGTAGATTCATATCCTCAACTCTCAGGACAAAGACAACGCGCTGTTTTATGTCCACGGCCCAGACTTTCTTGATGCTGGAAGCTTGCGATGCTCTGCCAGCACTGAGCTGGCTGTTCTCAACTATCCAGCAATGCAATTAATTTGCAATTCCCGGTGTGTCGTTTAGTTGGAAACAAAGCGCACAACTATTGCAAGCAAAGGTAGGTGACGAGCAGTGGGAGCTCAGAAGTGACGGACAGGCTGATCCGTGGCACCAAACCTAAGCTACTTCACAGGGCTGGGTTGCCAGCAGCATCTACACATGAAGCTTTGCGGCTTTGTGCTTCTGGTCAAAGCTTTGCCCTTTGTTGACACAAAATATTGGCCTCCTGCACACAGGTAGCTTGGATGTCTTTTTAACGTGTGTGCCAAAGCTGAAGTTGACAGGTTCTTCAGCGCTACAATTCCTCCGATCTGCGCATGACCATCGTGTATAGGCCGCGCTGCTCCTCCATTTCCTGCTAGGTGCGCTCAACGACTGTAGTTTTCTTGATTCACCCCCTCAGGTGGTAGGTATCTTGGTTCTCCGTACCATGAAGAGCATGCATTTGCTTTTGTCTCTCGGCACATGTTCGCTGTTTGCAGGGCACGATGTTTCGCTTCAGAAGAGGATCTGTTGCAAATTGCTTCATGAGTGACTACAAGCGTGTTCAAGTCTAGGTGCTCAAGTCCACAATTTCCATGCCTTCTTGTGATCCGACGGAAGCATTACCCTAACAGATGAGGCTCGACCACCGTGCTTACAACACGTTAATGAACAGCTCCGGACACGCGTGCGTACGTTTCCGCAGTCACCACCAGACTCAGCACAATTTTTTGCAGTTACATTCAGCCTTCGCTTGTGGCTGGCTGTGCGCTACCCCAAGGCGTTCTGGTGAAGATGCATTTGCTGCTTGCATGTGCTCAGTCTGACTGTGCGTGCGCAAGCGCCAATACGCAACCTGCAAAGAAGTTTCAGGAGAGACTTCGATTTCGTGCCGGTGCTGCAGAGGATCAGCTCAGCCCCTAGGGCTGCCACAGTTCTAGAATGGCCCACCTTGCATTTTGGCAGTATCTTGCAGTCTGGCGTAGCTGTAGTGCATGATCTTGCATCAGTTGAAGGTGGCAGCACGTTTTTTCAGTGTAGTGAAACAGACAGTCAGATGAACATGTTCTGGGGTAGATCACTTCTACAGGCCGCAGGGTGGGCCTTGCATTGGTAGTCGCGTTCTGACTCTGCCATTGGCATGTGTCCATTGATTTTGGAATCGCATGCATGTTGGTCGTGACAGGAGTTCGTTCGAGGATCCAGTTGAATAGCGGTCCCAGTAGGTCCAACCAAAATTGGAGTTGGGCACCGTTTCACTAATCGGGAACTGGCAGGCCTGGAAACCATTCTGGGCCGGCTGACAGAGGACTTGGTGACGCGGCAGAAGCTCTCAAGGAGAGGAGATGAGTCTGCTTGGTTGCGAGAGGTCATCCGAGAATCCCGTCCATGAAGTTTCCGTAAAGACTGCCGGAGATGTGTCAATTTAATGGCTGTTCTCAGAGAATCCGAAATTGCTGCAGCCCTGTGAGCTTCTTGAACGAGCCTCCTTGCAAGTCCAGCAAAAGGACTGCGGCCGCATCCATTGATAGACTGGACCTAGCTATGCTGCTGCTGGATACCTACATCCAGTGCCCTGGCCAAGACGTCGCAGCGACTTGGTTTTTAGATACCATCCTGTACTGCTACGCTGCAGCCATAAGTTTCAAAGCATGATCCTCCAACTCGATGCTCTGCATGCGTAACTCGAGAGCAGGAGCTTTGATCCCTACAATCTACACCTCAAAACTGAACCTATTGTTCCCAAATTTGTTTGTCCGCGGCCGCTCCAGACTATGCGGCAGAGGAAGATGTACGTGGCTTCGTGTGCTTGTATTGACAGATGGAGGATGATTATCTCGATGATATCAATACCATGATCCTAAACCACATCTAGTTGGCACTTGGATTTTCCAATTCGGTCCTAAAGTTTAGTTGTCTTTTACCGAGGCATTTTGATAAGCAAAATGCGAAGGAGTGCTATAGCGGGTTCGAGACAGATTGGATGATGACCGTTGTGCAAAGGCGCCACCCGTACATCATACAAAAAACAAGTTTCCTGCATGATGGTCAAGAATATCATCGTGGTTTTGCATGAGAGGGGGCCACCCCCTAATGGGAAGGTTGAGACACCTAAAACCCATACGCACAATTGCTGGTCCTAAGTCTCAAGCCCATCAGGTATCCTTTACCGGCCTGGGCAGAGGCAGGTTTGATGACGCCCCGGCTACAGAGGGGTCACAGTGGATGCAAGCTTCAAACCATGATCTCGACTGAAACCCAGGAATTTGCCTGCGCTGGCTTGCACCCGTAGCTTAGGATGTTGGTTTGGTGTTTTGTTCAGGTGACCAAATCAATATTGCAACCCTTCGCCCCTTCAAATTTGAAGAGGCTTGGATCCCTCTGAACTACTGCGCTTTGCCGCGACGTGCTGGTAAGACCCTCGCCTCTAACGCTGATGGGAGCGTGGTTTCTGACTTTTATCGACTGGTCTTTGCTGTTTGGAAGGCTTAGACAGTTTCATGGAGCCATGCTTTGGTCGTAACTCACCTTGACCCAGGTACAAGAATCTGTTGACGAGGCTGCTGAGCCCTCTCTGCGCGTAGATGCGCCTGAAGGTGTTCGCAAGAAACACGTCTGTGGAGTAACGTCATTTGGAACTTACGAAGACCTTCCTGCCAATTGCCTGAGCGTCAAGGGACCTCAGATGTGCGCTGCAGAAGAATTAGCGAAACTGGGCCTGTGGGGCAGAACTCTGATGAAGACTGAGTAGCCGCAAGTAATAATCATTTAGTGGCGCTGCTGCAGAAACAGGGCCACGGCCAGAACGGCCGCTCTGGGGCTTGTTGATGCAAGTAGTGTGATTTCTTTCTGCTTTCAGGCAGAGGCCGTCCGGCCAGTTCCCCTTGAGGTAGGGTGGATTTTGGAGGGCATTTGCCTTATCCACATCGACTTACACAAAAAGGTCATGAGCATGATCTGCCCGCGTTCGTACTGGAACATGACAGCATAGCATGATCGTGGGGACAGCAGAAACAAGCCACTGAATCTGCACCCCCAACCCGTACCTCTTGACATGTGCAACGAGCCAGCCAGGTACGGCCCCTTGTTTATGTGAGCCTGCAGCCCGAACTTTCCACCCGCTGCACTGCCCGCACTTACAATTGTCGAGCATGCTTCGCCCACGTTCCAAGCGTACTTATCAGCAAACTCTTCGAGAAGGGTGCAAACAGGCTGCAGTGCTTCGCTAATACAGGTCGGCCCACCACCAAGTAACCCAATGCAACTGCTGTATTCCAGATCACTGGAATCCTGCTCCTGGCCAGCTCTTGAGTTTCCAGCAGTGGCCGCTGACCCAGCCAAGCATTTCTTGTGCTCGGGCATTTGGTGCAGACCTACTGTTCTGCAGCTCGGTGGGTGCTGTACCGCATACTACGCATGTCTTCAACTACCAATGAGGAGCATCAAAACTCAGCTATATCCAAATCGCGCAAAGCTTCAACGTTTCAGCTTCGACATATTGAAGCAGCTCAGCCCCTGCGCTTCCCAGCCGCTCGCAAGGCATTGTGTGTGGCAGAAGGCTGATCCCATACAGCCCTAAAACTGACAGCAACCAGCAACCGCTTCGAAGACCCAAACACCGAGGCTTCAAAGCTCAGCCGGTCGTTCGGTGGTGGAGAGGCAAGGTTGTCATGTTGCTTCATTCCACAGAGGGGAAGAATCTGGAAAGCCACCTCGCAGGTACCGTGGACAGCGAAGTCCGGGGAGCCCAGCTCACATGCTCACATGGCATTTGAGAGTTGTGCATTCTGGCAGCTGTTTCTGACTCTCTGATGTTTTGATCTTGCTTCAACAGTGCTTGTGGTCAATTTACAGGGTTGAGATGAAATAGCCTTCTGATGCACTAAGACAAGAAATGACGATGGCAGAGCAGACAGCATGACAAGGCTAATGCAACTAGAAGATGGGCACCCGATTCGTCGCTTGCGGGTCATCCTTACTCGTATGTAGCGATAATACCCATGACGTTGTGCTTGGAATTGAGCCACTGAGTCACTTACAATATCGTTTGTGCGGACCTTTGCGGGGAGATCGCTTGGAGATCAGCAAGCTCTGAAGTTGATTGTCATCACTAGGAAGGGCCGGATCTTGGCAATGAATCCTCTATGTTGCGGCAGTTCTGATCCTAGGCTCTTGTCCTTGCTTAGGTTGAGTTCAAGAGGTGAGGCTTCCCAAACGGGAAGCGGTTGCTGATATGGACTCACGTCTAGCTTGCCTGGGCATGCGGCGGATCTTGAAAATCTAGTCATTGAAATACCCGTCATGCTTCAGTTGATACATTGCGGAGAGAAGTACCCCCCGGGCCGTTGCCTTGTTGTGGTTCTGTGATGTTCGGTGGTAGCTTTAACAAGCCGTCTCATGAGGTTTGCTATTTGAAAGTTTGGCGTGTGAATCCGTCGTTTGCGGAGTTAGTTTTTGGCATGCGCTTCTGTCAGGGGACTGTCACTTTCTGAATTTCTGATTTCCGTCTTTTGGTCACCTGAAATCTCTGAAGTGCCCATGCCTGTCCTCCCGCAGGCTAGGTGAAGTGTCTCAGTTGCATCACCCTTGTCCTTCCGCCGCCGTTGCAGCTTCTTTCACAAGCTGAGCAGTCTCGAGGCCTCACAAGGCATGTTTTGTGAACGGCACTGAGAATCATTGAGATCACCTTGGTTCTGCACACTTTGCACATCCTTACTGATCCGTTTAATTTGTGCCTAGCCATCTGCTTACTCATTATGAACTATCTTATCTATCTTTTAGCGAAGTGCGGTGCAAGTCACTCGTTCTAGAAGCATCATTCAAGTTTGTATCGGCAAGTAGTTGACGTCTTTTGTCACTGGGCCGCCATGCCCATCGACTATTCGAAGTTTGATCACATTGGCGACTCCGATGAGGAGTGCTCCTCTCAGCGTGGCATCAAGAAAGACCTTCTTCAGCACCTTGGCAATGACTCAGGTCTGCTGCGAATGCTGCGCGGGCGCCGGCTGCGCCCCCGGCAGTCTCTAAGATTGCAAAGTCTGTTCCTCACGCGGGCAGAGCGCCAGCGGTACCAAAGTCGGGGAGGCGCCAGCAGCAATTTGCAGCATCTGCAACACAACATGGCCAAAGCTTCGCATGCTTCGCAGGAATGGTCGCGAGCTCCTGGAGGCGGAAGGCCAGTCTTCAATGGCTTTGGTAGACTTTTGGAGACACGGCACACCTGGAGGTTTTTCAACTTCCCCAGTTGAACCCTGAGCTGCTGAGCTCCAAGTTCGGCAAGTTGCCAGGCCTTGAGCAGAAATTCACGTTGCTGCCAAGCCCAGCACTCGGTTCCCCAGGGTCACACAGGACATTTTTGTGCCAAGGTTTGGGTTCAGATAGTAGTATAGTAGTTGCAAGTCTTAGCGAGTCAGTCCAAGACTGGAGGAGTGCCGGACGTACAGAGCTTCGAGCGATTTCAAGCGTGCTAACAGGTAGCGGTGGTAACCATGGGGGCTATCCAAGTGGAGATTCGCCGCAGCCTTGGATCCCGCGGCCAGATCGCTGTTGCAGAAGGCTATGTTATTGCATGAGGCAGTCCTGAGGCTTGCTCTGCAACCCCTTAACGCATGACCTCTCAAGGCCAGAGATGAATGCCCTTGCGGCTGAGCTCGAAAAGCTCGCGGGGCCCGATGCTCAGCAGCACTTAGCAGCGGACGGTGTGGAGCCGGGATGACTTTGCATGAGCAGTGCATAGAGCGTGCAAGCCTGCAGGGGACGTGGCGGCCTGACGCCAGCTGAGGACAGGAGCTTTGACGTAGCCTCTTGTGGACCATTCTGTGTGTTCCGATTCCAAGGAGCCACCCAAGCCGGGAGAGCCGCAGCGAGTGTGCATGAGGCGCTTTGGGCTTGATTGATGGACTGGAGTTGGAATTTTGTAATTTGAATGAAATCTTTCGCATGGCGGCCGAGACTTTTTGCAAAATGACAATCCCAGTTCTGACCCTTCAGCAGCCGAATGTCCTGTGTCGATGTGTGCTGTAGCAAGGTCGGACGGCAGGAAGAAGATCCACACGACCTACCCAGTGTGTCACCAAGTCGTTCATTGCTGCAAACTGAACAGGCAGCAGAGGTCAAAATTGGTGGTGCTAGGGGGTGAAACTGCGCGGTTTGTGACACAGCACGTCGGACACTCTTCTACATACAAGCAGCTTTCTGCGTGTAGACGCTGCGTCGTTGCATGTCGTTGCATGTGGTTGCTACGTGGGGGATGATAGCAGCGTAATGGTAGCATGTGCAGACATCGGCACGACTCGAGGATGGTGGTGAGATGGTGGAGGAGTACGACGAGAAGACCGACGTGCTTCTTGTCAGGAAGCCGGAGCCACAGAGCTTCGCCAAATGCTTCTTTCATGCACGGATTGGGACTTGCTCTAAAGGCTTTCCACCAAGTCCATGAGGTTTAGATATTGAGCACTTAAGTTTCATAGCGTGCACGAGTATTTTCGCGATTTGCACTTTCTGCGCCTGGTTGCAGGGTGCGGAAGCCTTCGAAGGTTGGGAAGGACACGCACAAGCATGGGCACGAAAGCACTTCTTGGTGTAGTGCCGTTGTGGAGTGTGCATCGGATAAGTTCTGGATCTTCCAAAATTCATCCAGTGGACATGATCAGGAGGGCGAATGGGTTTTCGAGGTGGGCCAGGCTCCGCAGCAGCGTTTCAAGCGCTTAACGCTTCAGGGCGGAGGTTTACGGCCGGCCGGATGTTTGTGGCGCAGACACTCCAGAATCCCAAAACCGAAGGATACAACCTGAGCTCTTGGCCACAGCAGTTTCTGCAAAAAAAGGCTATGGAGGGTGCTTTTGATCCCTACTCGGACCTGATGCGCGCATCTTCGCCAGTGCCTCGGACTCCCTGGTTGCCAAGTCTAAGCAGAGGTAGTATTCGAATCCACAGGCTTTGGGAATAAGAATAGCTACCCGATGTCATTTAAAGCGACATAAGCTCTTGCCATCAGCGCATTGGCACCCAACGCATCTCAGCAAGAGCGAGCGCAGAGGGGTTTGAGCTGCAGTCGAGGCTCGCGTCTGAAACCAATGGAGGGGTTCTTTCTTCTGTGAGCTTTGCTTCAATACGATGAGGAGCAACCCCATATTCCTTCGCAAGGACACGTGGCTGCCTCAAGAGCTCGCACAAATGACAATAGTTTTATAGATGCCTTTCACCAGCACACATGTCCTTTCAGGCAGGAGAGGGTAGAGGTTCTGTTGATACGACGCTGCCGCAACTGCATCGTAGGAGGTGTCCGTTGTAAGATCCATGACATCCACCTGCAGCACAGGCCCGAACACTTTCAGTGGCGAATCCGGAACCTCCCATACTCCGCCGACGTGTACAGTGTGTCGGTCGGCTGATGCAACGTTCTGATTATCAGCAGCACTGAACTACGGATGGCAAGCGATCTTCTGATGAATTCCTGACATCATTTTCATACTGCAGGGATCTGCAGGGTCTGCATGCGCTTGTCTGGTATCATAATGCAGAGTTGCTGCTGCCAGGTGGACCATGAGAAGCAAGAGATTGTAGTGAAGACATCCAACAAGAAGTATTACAAGAGGCCAGTGCTCAGCGGTCCAGAATCTCCGACAACGACTTTACATTGCATGGCCTATACGGCCTCAAGTTGCTTACCAGATCAGGCGGTGAGGTCCCAGAACATGTTGTGCTACTTCGGGCGCACCTCTGCATTGCTGCGAAGGATTCAAGTTCCGGACTTGCCGCGCCACGATTTGAAGTTCAAGGACCTGGCACAGCTAACAGCACACAAGATATTCTGCGGTCTCTGAGTATGAAACCCAAAGTCCACGGGTCCTGACTGTATCTGGAACATTTGCCCTTCCTCAGCATCCTTGAACCCATTGTCACTGCTCATGGCTCGTGTCAGCCTTGCGCTGAGTTCCCTCCGGATGCTAATGAATTCACATGCAGCGGCTGTCGTTGCTCACCGACCCCGACTTTCAGCAATCCTGGCTTCCCTCCCGTCCAGACTGCGAATCCTTTGCTGGGGGGCCTCGTGTGTTCATATAGTCTACCCCTAAATATCCCAAATGCAGTGTAATCCTTGACCTCTCCAGAGCGCAGATGGCCTTCAGCAACTGCCCAGCTGACCTGCCAGGATGAGCTGCTGTCCTGGAAGCACCAGTCCTTGGCTCAGCTTAACTCATACATGTATCGGGGGTCCAAGGGTAGTTGTGCGTTGAGAAACCACAAATCTGGAGACGCTGGGCAGGCACCGGTTTGTGGTGACTTTGTGTCGTGCCTGCTTGGCCAGGGTTGCCTTGGCATCATTTGTTGAATTCCAGTCCCTGACAACTCCATATCCTTAGCTGTTCAAAGGAGGGGTCCTGTTGTTGTGAGCTCCAACCTGGAGCGGCTGCCTTCCACCCCTCTCAGGGTCTTGCGCCTCATTATGACAGATTTTACGCTTCCAGGCAAGAGGCAGCGGCATATACGAAGTCTTGCAGCCCTGCTTGAGGGTACTGAATTTAATGAGTCGGCCCGAGTCCCACGGCATCAATTGCGAGTGAACTTCGTGTCTTTGGGCGGAGATGTGTGTTCTGTCCGGGGCAGAAAGGCATAGCACGCTCATCATCTCCTACGCGAAGCGTGGATCTGAGAAAAAAGGTAGGCACTGGCATGATGGGAGCCAACGAGGTGTTCAGGTCACAGCAGGGAGGCGGAGAATCTGACTTAGGTGGTTGGGGTTGCTGGGGGTGTCCTCGTCAAGCTATCAAGGCCACCGCAGCATGTAATGAATCACTGCTGGAATGAGCCCTCCGCCAAGGCCTCCAGAAATCCTCGCAGGAGAGCAACAAGCTCTCCGAGAGGCGGAGAGGCCTGGTGATCCTTGTCGTTTAAGGGCGTGTGCGACTGTCGCCCCATCGTTTTCCACTCACTTTTCAACCTGACACAAGCTCGGTTCCATCACGACCATTGTTTGCCACGGCGCAGAGTTACGTAGGTGGCCCGCGCGTTCTTGGGATCCCCAGCCACCACAACCATCGAAGCGGTAGCCCTTATAGCCCTTCAAAGCTCCTCGGAACCGTTGCAATTTGGGTACACTTGTGAACACAACCGGATCTGCCTCCTTTGCATCATGAACCTCTTGCTGACAGGTCTGCAGTCAAAATGTGACGCGGCCGTTGAAATTGGATGCACGTCATGCACGCCGGTGCACAAAGGAAAGTCTGCAAGACACAATGCTGGCAGCTGTTTGTGAGTTGATTCATTCTGCATGGTAGCCGAAGTGCTCCAAGTTTGGGTTGAGAGCAAGGATCAACGTTGTCATGCTGGACTCCAACTGAAGATCGAAGTTTGGAATCTGTAGCAGAGTGGCTCAAGCGGGGGGCTTGTGGACGGGCAATTCCCCGGCTGCCTCGCCCCCCCTCCTTGACTCTTGCGGCCAGGCATGATGCCCGCATTCTGCACTTTTTTTTTCTGGAATCAGGTTGAAGTTTCACTTCCTTGAAAGCAGCGAACACACGTCGTGGGCAGGGCTTTAAGTGCGCCTTTTTTTTTCTTTTTCTTTTTCTTTCGGTTGTCCTCAGGATCATGGACGCTGGGAGGCTCCTGATATGCTCTGGCCCCAGCAAACAGTCTCAGTTCGGAATTTCTTCACAGAACATCGTATTGTGCTTGAAGCTGTGAATTTCTGCAATCACCGGCCAAGCTTAGCCTGACGGCAATCATTTCGAGCTTTGTTGTTGCGACATATTGCATCCAAGTCACGCCGTTGCCTCGTCTGCGTCTGATGCCCCCACATGTGAGAGCGCCAATCGAGCTTTGTCTTGATTACTTTGTTGTTTTGTAGGAATGTGTGTGTGCGCTGACATTGCGTAGTGAGTCCTGATGGCATTCTGAAGTCTAGGATAATCCTGGCGCTTAACTGCTGGTCAGCATGACAGTCTCCCAATCAAAAGCTGACAGTGCCAACGCGACCGAGTTGCTACACTTGCTCAGGCGTCGCGGGCATTTGGACATGCTTCTTCGTCTATGGAATCCTCCAGGATCTTTGGTGTCGGTAGATGCGGGGGCCAAAGTAGCCCAGATGAACAAGGTTGCTGTATTGTTACCCTTTCGATTGTTTCGAGCCCTACACAATTACCAAACAGCAGGAAGCGTATGTAAGCCAGTACTGCAGGAGAGCATCTTCGTATACAAGACTGCGACCGGTGAGAAGCTTGAGTCTCAGTGGAACGGACATCCTCTCGTATTCATTTCAGACAAATGAAATGCAGACGGCGCAAACTGACAAAGTTTCACTGCAATTGCCGGCCTTAACTTGGATATTTTGTGCCTGGTGTCGCAGCTACAGTACCCTCCTTCTCCAGGGTTGGCTGGGTTTAGAAGTTCTCGGAAGCTCGCAGAGGCACCGAAGCACCAAAAGAGCTGCCCACCCGCCAACAACCCCTCTAGAGCGGCTTTGGATGCAAGGTTCAAGCAGACGATGGTGCTGTTGATTGTGGAGCATTCGGTGCTTGGTCCTCAAAACGCCGGAGCGACATGCAATCCAAAGCACGGAGCATGCAGAGGTCAGCCCTGATTGCTTTGGCGATCATCGCGCAGCTTGTCAGCATGAAGCCATGGCTCTTAGGCTTGGCATGGCTTGTCAGATTTGGCAGCAGTCTCTGAGCAGGTTTGGTTCTTCACCCCGCCAGAAGTGGCCTGTGCCTCAGGGAGTTTTTAGTTTTGCGGGTTGTCGAGCACGAGCTCTGCAGGCTGCCGTATCTCAAGTCGCAGGGCATCGTAGCTTGTGCGGTTCCCAGATTGTCCTTTGTCGCCTCCACGTGAGAAGATATTATATCCTTTGCGATGCGATGTCTTTGTGCGATTGCCACGGCTGTCAGCTTGTGTGCGTTGCTCTGGTCTACTCTGAAACCATGTCGGCCACCGCAACGTCTTCACTGGTTCCGCGCTTGCTGCAGTATGCGCGGGAAAAGGTGGCCAGTGCCCAGCCTGCGATCCTCTCCAATCTTGCAAGGGTGACGCAACTGCCCCTAATCATTGATGTGGCTCTGCCTGGTGCAGCATACTTCTCTGTTGCAGCTGGTGGGCTTTGTGACGTGCTCTACCTCCTTGGGGAGGAGGCGCGATCGATCACGATGGCCAAAGAATTTATGAAAGGATCTTGCTTTGTTTTGACAATGCTGCTGGAATGAAGGGGCCTTCAATCAAGCCGTATGTTTCGACGACTTGATGCTAGCTGCTAGCAGTGCAGTTCTGGCAGTGAAAAAGGCTAAACATCGAGGAGCATAGAGGTACCCTGGAATTTGCAGTGCAATGAAGCGGCACTCAGTTAGGATGTTTTATGAGTTGGCATCATTGGAGCATCTGCCCTGCAGGTAGTCAAAGTCGACCGTTTTGTCGGTGCCAGCGGAGGTGCCTGCAGTCTCTTCTTGATTCTCGCCAACGACAAGCGAGCGCCAAGTGACCAGCATGCTGCACCTGCTGGCCGCTGTCCCAGTGCAGATCTTCTGTTGGAGTCGTACCTGGAGTATGCAAAGTTGGAGGGCTCCAGCGGTGTCCAGCGGTCCTTGAGTGCATTTTGGCAAGCGTTGGCCGGAGTGTCATCTTTCTGGGAGGACAAGTACCGGGCCCTTCTTACCAATGAGGCAGCCTGGGCGGCAGTCCGGTCACGGGGTTTCTGTGCAATTGCCTCGAGGCCAATCCGGCAGCAGATATTTGGGTCAGCGCCTAGTGATGCGGTGTACCATGCAGTGGGGGACAACTATATTCTGCACAATTTCTCGGAGAAAGAAGAGGCTGTGCAAGCATTCGTAGCCACGGGTGAGGCAACCGCAAAAGGATTCACCAAGGGCATCGCAATCCTGGGCTCAGATAGGAGTTTCGCTGTTGTAGGACCACAGGCTGGGCGTCCGAGCCAGCTGCGCAGCTTGCCAGCAAGCTTTTGCGACGGTGGGCGCCCGGCCAACTTTGATGCCTTGCACGACCATGCTAGCCCTAATGCTTTCCTATACTACAATACCTGGTTTGAGAATGCATCTGAAGCGGCCTTCTGCACGCCGGAGAGCATCGAACACCTATACAAGAGGGGGGTCGACCGTACCATTGATTGTTTGCTAAGTGAATCGTTTGCATCGCCCACTCCAGGCACTCTGAACACAGTCGCAGGAAAGGCAGCCAAGGACAGCATCGTCTTGGCTCTTGCTGGCGCAGATTTAGCCCAGGAGATAGGGAAAATCAACGCAAAAAGCCCACTGTACGGAGGCTCCTTTGTCAATCTCGCAGGGAGCGAGATCCGGGAGCAGCCGAGCTTTGCTTGAGCAACCAAAAAAGCCGCAACAGTTCCCATTTTGACAGACGCGCGCAGTTGAGGTTCGCCACGAAAGCTTACTTAAGGTATAGTATAGCATCATAATGGTCTTTCCACAGTGGAGTCACTTTTCTGGATTGGTGGAGCTCGGATGACTCATCATCCAGTGAACGCTCCGGCGCATCATGTTCTTTGTCAATACTTGCGCATTGCTGTTGAATTTCAGTGCTCAAGCCTCACACTTGTTGTTTGCGAGAAGCAACTGTGCAGTCAATCTCCTATACCCTGTCGGGCTGAAGGCGCGCAGTGTGGAGCGAAGTTTGCGTCGAACGAAGCTCTTAAGTCCGTGTCCTACCCCATCCAGGCAAGGTGGTGGCAAGGTTGAAGCTCTGTTCAAGAGCCAGACCTCCAAATCCAGCATCTGCATGCTTACAAGGCCTTGGCCAAGAGTTCGAAGACGCTGCCTGCCATGCTGGGCTGCCTGGTGAGTGGTGGCAGCTGGCCTGCTTCGTGTCGCGCGATGCTTTTTCCGTGTCCTTCTGAGCAGATGGCAGCCAGGAAAGCGAATCACCGTCCTTCAGTGGATTGCTGCGTTTGGCATTACGCCGCGGCCTTTGCCAGAATGCTTCAGAGCAGAGGAAGGCCAATTTCTCTCTTTCGACATTGCTTTGACCGCTGCTGATGCTGCTGCTGTACATACTTCATTCACCACATCCTTCCTGCCTGCTGACTTGTGATTTGTTTCCTTTAAGATCAGTTCTCTTAGGCGACCATGCTTGTGTCTCTCCATTTCCTGAGGCTGGGAACTGCCGGCTTCTCCATGTCCGGCAAGAAGGGTGGTGACATCGAGGCTTGGACGGAGGAGTGCAGTAGATGCGACGGAACCAAAAACTGAAAAAAGGGAGTCTGATGCACACTTGCAACTATCGTGCCCAGTAGACTGGAAAAGGTCACAATCCTTGATGTCTCCTGGTCACATGGATCACGGAACGCTGCTGCAGAAGGACTGGTTGCTTGACAGGCCAAGCCCTTGGGAGTGCTTCTGCTGGTGGTGTCCTTGCTTTGCCGGACCCTGAGCCGAGAATGCATGCCGACTGTAGGCGGTCATTTCAGAGTGTTTTCCCCTGACTCTTCCTGAGCGGGAATTGAATCTTGCCACGAGGAAGCTTGCTCGGCTTGAGGCAATTGACACTTACACTTTCAAGGTCCACAGGCTACAAAGTGAAAAGCCAGGGCGTCAATCGCTTACAAAGCGACCTCAATGATTCCAATCCGATCCTAGCCATGAGCAGCCTGCCATGCCAGCAGCTGCGCTGCGAAGGGACGGAAACCTTTGACAACTCAGATGGAACAGCTCGCACGTCCCGAAATAAAGACCTCAGCTGCCCCAGGTGATGGCACAGTCTCCATGCAGCAGGCAGGTGACTGGGAAGTTGTCTCCAGCATAGAAGACACCAGCATCTTTGACATGAGTAAACCTCAGCTTCAGCGTCTTGAGTCCCAAGCACTTATCCTAAAGAATCCTGCGTACATTCTTTCGCCAGCGAGGAAGTACTTTGGCATAGCCTTGCATGACAGGAGAAGATGCGAAACCAGGCGGTGGTGCTGTCACCGTGACCTTGCTCAAAGCGCCTTTATTTTTTTCCCAACGCCACATGCTTTCTGATTAAGTTGGTAGCACACGCGCCTGAAGGCTGCATGTTCCTTAGTGGGGTCAGAAACTGACAGACTGGCAACATGCCCGCTTTTGGATTGTTTTTTTCTCATGGCTTGTGGCTTTGCTTGTAGCTTACCTTAGCTGCTTTAGCTGGTTGCGTTCTTCACATACAAGTACCGCTGCAATTTTTTGTAATGCCTGCTACCACGACCAGAAAGCCTGATGTAGACCTTCCAAAACCAAAATCTGAAAATCCCAATCCTCAGACCGCAATCCTAAACCTGTTGCCTTGCTCTGCTGCACGATATCCTAGATTCCTGGCTTGAAGGACCAAAAGCCGTTGACAACCTTCAAGCCCTTGAACGCGGAACCCTGAAAGTTGCAAAGCCTGAGCACCCTAACCCGAGCAAGGGTCATGGCCCCACGCCGTCAATCTCGATACCCTTTTAACTCTTCACCTGCAATGAGACAACTCTACCCTCAACGCCCATACAAGATGTCAAACTCTGAAGAACCCAACCCCTATCAAACACCAGAGTGCTCAAACTCCAACATAACGACGTTTCGGAGAGATTCGGAGTGCACAGCTTGTCACAGAAGCCATGGGCGAGAGACTGCTGTCGAGCGTTTTTGTGTGACACTTTGACACAAATGTGAAGACTCCACGATTGACTGCATTTGATTTGTCAGTTGTTCTTTTGTTAGAGTGCGTTTTCAAGCCTGTGGTCAAGACGGTAGCCCCAGGTACGAGCAGATGTTCATGACGAATGCTGGAGCAGCGCTGCTTCTGCTTCCTGCAGGGAACCCGAATGCCAAGCTTCAAGAAGAACACCTGACTGTTTTTTGTCTTGCTTATGCTGTGCGGTTTCAGTCTGCACAGTGACTCAAGGTGTCCTTCCTCACTGGTCAGCTCAATCAAGGCCAAGAGCTAAGAAGCACTGACGCACCATCAGCAGTTGGGCTACTGAAAGGAAGACCATTTTCTGCCAGCGCAGACTGTATTCCAGAATCTACAGGGAAACCTGAACCGAACCTCAGACATCACGACCATTGCGCGACACGGAAAGCAAGGCTGGCACGGAATGCCTTTTTCTGCACGCAGCCATCGTTTTGAGTTTCTGCCCAGTTGTCCATTCTTTCACCCCTCTAATGAGGGGTTTGCGGGTCAGCCCGAGAGCTTGACTGGAAGGTGGGTGCGAGGAGTAGGTTAATTCAAGCCCTATTACTGCGCAGACCAGAACTAAGCTGGGCCCAGTTTGGCCGTTACCAGCACTTTTCGGTTCAGAGTGCAAGTTAGCAAGTGAAGATTAAGTTTGGCGGGATGGTAGCAGACGTTGTTGCACAACTCTGGGCCGGCAGTAGCAGCTACAGGGTTGTGTCCAAACCCTGGGGTGAATTCTCTCACTTCTGAAATCGAATACCACCGCCGCGCAAGATCTAAGCACCAGGGTTTTGCCCCCTTCGGTCCAGTTGAACAATTGCCGCGCGGACAATCTAACCTGCTCAACCACAACTTGAATGGCTAGCATACTCGCACCTTGCGATGTTAGGCTAGCTGAGATTCCTTGTCCCATGCCCCTTGGACCAGAAGCTTTCTGGCTGGGATTGCAGAGCCAGTGCCCCTTGAGATGGGTACCAAAGGCGTCCAGTTTCTCTACGAGAACGTCACCATCCTCGATGAGGTGATATCCATGTGGTGAGGGTTGTTTGTGTTGTAGACTCGCGCAATCCATACTGGTGAATACATATGCATTGATTTGTGACGAGCTGAAGTCATGGTTTGAGATTCATACATCCATGCACCTGATTCTTCTTCATTAGTCTCATCGTGAATGTCTGTCCTCGCAGATTGCCATCTTTGCCCTCTGCTCGGCCTTCGGACAGGTGCCATGGCAAGCCTTGGGTTCAGGTGAGGTTGAGAGGCGGAGGGTTTTCGGGCAATCCCCAGGGCTCTTTGGTGAAGAGTTGATTCTAATAGATTCTGCGTATTATAGTCTTCTATTGTCTTATCAAAGTACTGGGGTATCGGAGGTTGCCTCGCAGGCACTTTCGCCTGCACGTTGATTGAGCATTCATTGAGCAGATTCATCTCGGTAGACTGCTAAGCCAAACTCTACTTGGCAGCATGCAAGTTTTCTGGGCATCATGTGCACCAAGACTCGGGATCATGGATCGGCCTACTAGCAGCAGTGCCACCGCTACACACCGCCACAAGCAAATCCATGAATTCTTGAATGCAACAATTAATGTTTAAGGCAAAGCCGGACGAAAGGTCCCAACCCGGCTTTCAGGTGTTCATTTTCCTGACCATCTCATGGTTTGGACCTGACACGAACGCCAAGATCACAACCATTCGCGGGGTGCTCAGAGTCGGAGCCGCGTCGGAGTCGCGTCGGAGCCGAGTGGGTGGCTCGTGCTCTCAAACGAAACCTAAAGGCCCACTAGAACACTAGAATCACCCGCAATCAACCAATCGTCCAGAATCCACAAACTGCTCCATGAAGGTATGCACACAGAATCATCTGATTGAGCCTTCCCGTCTAGAAGCCCTTTAGCAGACACGAGGCACTGCAAAATGTTTACTTTCTGAGTCATGTGAGTGGGAGCGCGCCATTCCTTGAGAAGACTATGATGCTTTCTTAGAAAACATGAAAACGTGGCAGGTTGGTGTTTCTGCCAGAGTATGAAAAACATCCAAGTGCATCTTGGAAGGGGTTTGACATACAGTGGCCCATACAGATGTGCATGCGGTTTCTACACAACTTCAAACGATACAGGACTTGGAGTTGGTTTGGACAAAGCGAAGTGTAAATTGCCCAAGATAGCCCAAAACGTGCAGAACCCGCCGGAAAAAGTTGCACTTCAACCCAAAAAGAATTGTGTCGTTTTTTTTTTTTTTTCATTTTTTTTTATTTTATGTTCTTTGTCATGAAGAGAATGACTGGTAGTTTCCATGAAATGGGGACCCCTATATAGATCCCAAAATACTATAATCCTTCTTATTGGGACCGCCCCTAATTTCGTGAAGCCCCCACTAGTTTTTTCAGGGCTTCAAGCTTCTGATTCTTTGGACCCAGCTCTTATATGATAGAACTTAAGGCCTGTATCGTTTGGAATATTCCCCTTCTAGCCCTCATAATAAGTTGTATTGCAAAACGCCTCAGAAATGCGAGGGAATTTCAGGTGGATAGCTTCCCGCGATGAATCTTACATAGCCCTGATATACCTCCGGGTCTCCCCATATCAGCCTTGCTGGAGTTATGTGAGGGTATTCACCTGGTAACTACCCGCCGGGAAATTCCATTAACAAACACCCCTTGAAAGGGACCCCGTAAGCCCGAAGCCCTAAACCCTATTGATATAGTTACGTGCAACTTTGCAGCTGTCAGGTATTCTGTTGAAAAAAGCCTAATGTAGACCCATGATTAATAACCCCCCTCCTTTTAAGGGCCCAAATATTAGGATCCTTATAATAATCCCTATTAAGGGAAGGGGGTTTATTAATCATGGGTCTGGGTTAAACCGCCCTAAACTCTCAACCCCTAAACCCCTAAACCCTAAATTTAGATGTTTTTTTAATTGTATTTCAACAAGAACCTTACTTTAAATATTTAGGCCACTTCGATGTACCGGGCCAAGGCCCTGGCAATGGTGAAGAGCAGTACGCCCAACCACACCTGGGTAGCTTCAGAAGGGTTTACTGGGGTTAGGATTTTGGGATGTAGAGGAATACAGTACTGGAAAAGAACATGGAAACTACAACTCTGTAGTAGGGGTATCGTAGGGAATAAAGGAATGCATTTTGTAGGGATAATGTAGGGATTATATTTCCTCATTCCCTACTAACCACCAGTAAGTTTACGGTTGTGGGTTTGAGGGCTTAAGGTTGAGGAGTTGGGAACTTCAGCGAGGTTTTGCCTAGGCGGGAGCGGGGAAATGGAACCCCACAGCAATCGCTTCATTATCCACACTAAAACCTCTCTGCCATTTTTTTTAAAGCTAGTTCCCCAATTTCCACCAAACTAGTACGGTACACACAAAGAGCAAGCTGTGGGGTTCAAGGTTAGCGTGGTGGAGGTTTGAGGGTTCAATTCAGGGTTTGGATTTGGGATTCAGGGCTTCAGATTCTCGACTTGAGACGTTTCCTCATCATTCCATACCGTTGCAGTTGCAACAACCGCGCATGGAGTTTCAGTTTTGGCTACTATTACTACTATTACTATTACTACTATTACTATTACTACTATTGCTATTAGTACTATTACTACTATTGCTATTAGTACTATTACTACTACTATTACTACTACTACTACTACTATTACTATTGCTATTACTATTACTATTACTAGTACTACTAGTACCATTTGTATTGTTACTAGTATTACTATGACTATTATTACTATTCGTATTACTATTACTATTACCTGATGGAAGAAGCCGGAGGTGGCAGTGGTAGGAGGCAGCAGCACCAGCGCTGCTGCCACCACCATGACCACTGCTGCTATTGCTGGTATAATCCCATAGACCCCCCATATAAATACTATAGTAGCTTCCATTTTCTTTTCCATTATCCCTATATAACCTCTACAAAACCCCATTACCCTGTTTGCTGGTATCGTTGCTGCTACTAGTAAAGTTGCTTCTACGTGCTCCCTAAAATGCAAGAATCAGCTTGACTACGACGATGATGAGTTCGACGACTGCCACATTGGCCCCCCCACCGCTGAGTCTAGTTCCACAACTGCTGCTATGCAAATTCTTTTTTGAATAGTACTGCTACTATTACTCCCGCCATCACTACAACAACTGATTCTTCTGCTGATGCTACTGCTGCTACTATGATCATCACTACTACCACTGCTGCTGCTTTTACTACTTCCTGTAAGACTACTGCCATCACTGCTATTTATACTCTCCCCTGCTCCTTCTATGATAACCCTAAACCCTAAACCCTAGACCCTAAACCCTAAATAGGTCTTGTTGGCATGGCTGTCACGTTTACCGCTCTCAGCATGTAAGGTACTGTGGCCATGGTGGGATGATGGGAGGCTGGTCGATGCCCTGCTGTGAGCCCTGGTAGCCTGCTCCGAGGTCCTGGTATACTTCATGTCCAGAATCAGCCCTAAATAGTAGTTTCCATTTTATTCTCCATTATCCCACTATAACCCCCCATATTCTATCTACTTAAGGGGGGCTATAGGTCTAGAGTTTTGGGGTGAGTCGGGTTTGGGTGGGAAGGTTGAATGGTTTAACTTGTATATTGTACGGCCATGTTTTTCTTGGGGGCTTATGGTCACTTGGGAGTTCATTGTGGGCGGTAAAGGATCTGTAGGTTTTCACGGTGCTTGGTTTTTTTGGCATGCTAGGTTCTTAGATTCTAAGCATCATCCTTAAAACTCAATTTTTATGCTACTACGTAAGCTGCATGGTGTCAAGAAGAAGGGACCTTCCAGCAAGTGCACCGGCCTCGGCTCTTCACTCAAAAATCTTCTCCAAACTCCTCAAAGGCGGAGTACGAAGGGATTCTGTGGGGAGTTTACGGGATGTCCTTTAAACTCCTGGACAGGGAGTATATGAGGAATAAAGGGGTTTGAAGTTATCCCAAGTAATACCATGCTTTCCTTTGTAGTATTTTCCTTGAGCATAGCAGCACTGACAACATATTGGCAATGACGTTTATGAGTAGGAAGATATAGCTAGCAACCGCTGGCAGGTAGCAGTAGCATTTTGCGCGCCTTATGCAGTCCCATCCAGTGGACGCTCGTTTCAGTTCAATGTGTCTTGGCTCTAGGAGAGGCTCCTGCCGCCGAGCTGTAGACCGAAACCATGTGAGGCAGCTGAATGCTGTGTGATCAAGGGGTGACCTTCAACCCCCGACGAGCACTCAGGGACACTTCTGCTGGGTGCAAGTCGAAGGTCCAGCAGTTTTGACAATCGCCCCAGTTTCCACGATCCGCAGCATGGTGTCCCTCGGCAAAGGCGAAAGCCCCCGACTCGTGAACACTGTTATCTGACAAAATGACGCTGCATTGTGGTTGATTATGTACAGACACCTTATTTGCATGCTGGTGGTACGTAGGGACAGCACCAGCAGTGAGGGTTTCTGTCCCCAGTGAAAGACTGCAGCATCCCTCCTGAATCCTGCCATGGTTCGGACCTCGTCTATGTTATCTTCCACGCATAGGTGCAATAGTTGTTTCTGATCCGTTCCTGCACCAAACATGGACACCTTTGTTCTATGCTGCATATGTGGTTTTTCTCACTGCCCGAAACTGCGGATGGTTTGCTGAAGAGGATTTCCTTCCTCATGATCTGTGTATAGTCATAGTACGATATACCCCTACCCTGAACTATGTTCCAGCTATTCTGGCCGGTTGTACTAGCTCAGGGCAGTGCGCATTAGGGAATGTCTCTGTGCAGGCCACATCTCTTACACCCTGAGCTCTTCATAGCACTTCAAATCAGTAAGCTTCAATCTCTCACTTGTTCGACCTCATCATCTCTAGCTTCGACCCATCAACCCTTGCATCATCGCCACAATATAGGGGCCTACAGAATTAGAAGATCGTGGTTCAGCTTCGTTGTATAATCATAACAGAGGCAACTGCTAATACATCTCAAGAAATGTTCATAACTTTCCAGGCCCCTAAATTAATTATCCTAGTAAACACCTATGTAAGTCCAGCAGTTTCCATTTCAGTTTCTATTTTCTTTTCTGCATTCTTGGTACCCTCAACCTCAAGCCATTGAATCAAGGACTTCTCCAGGTTAAAACACTTAATGGATGCCCATATGTACCATAGTCTAAACTCCTTAGCGGGGGTTATATAGGGGAATACTAAAAGGGATATTAAGCGGGATACTAGGAGTTTAGACTATGGCTCTTTTAGGCTTCGCATAGCCCCATGACCTTCATGCCAGTGGGGATGCCTGCCCACCTGGGATTTGCTTTGAGTGAGCCACCAAACCCTGAACCCTAAACCCGAAAACCCTAAACCCTAAACCCCAAACCCTACTACCCTAAACCCTACAAACGTAAACCCTAAAACTAAAACCCTAAAACCCTTTATAGGCCCACCAAACCCAATCCACCAGAGACAGGTGCTGCCAGCCTCTGTCTGCGCCAGAGCTCCAGAGCTCTGAGGTACCCAGTTGGATTGTTCCACAAGAGGGATTGGGTAGATAGGGGTAGATTATAGGAAACTAGCATTTAGGGTTTTAGGGTTTAGGGTTTAGGGGTATAGAGGGGTATATAGGGCAGTATACGGAAATTTAGGCTTTCATGGGTACTGTGGCGGACATCGAATGGAGAGGAACATGGAAGTCGCTATGCGCACTGGGTTTGCATAGGGGTTGATAAGGTTTAGGATCCGGGCTTGGTGTTGATGATTCAGGGTGTTCAGGGTCTAGGATTTCTGATGGTTACTCTGCCCCCCGTACTGTCAAGGGACAG